ACCTGGCCCCTCTCTCTGATGGGCGTGTCATACCTTCCGTGTGTCCCCAGACCTCCAGGAGGCCTTCCCTTTCTCACTTTCAGCTGGTGGCCCTCTGTCTCTGAGAACGTGGAGGCAAGCCCTCCCCCGCCTTGGCACCCTGCTGCGTCTGTGTCCACGTGCTCTGCCCTCCATCCGATCGCTGTGCTCGACCTGTGCTCCTGCACCACGACCTACACCACACGCCCCCCACCCCACACAAGGAGGGCAGGGGTCCAGCAGGAGATGCAGAACCAAGGTCCCCACACAGGCTGCCCTTCTTCGGCAGAAGCTGCAAAAGGCCTGCCCGTGGCTTCCTGAGAGACATCAGCCTTCGATGGTGCTGGACAGCTCCCAGGAGCCCATCCCCTTGCCCTGGCAAGCGTCCCGGGCTTGGGGCTCAGAAGGGACCACTGCCATTCTCAGCTCTCTGGGTTTCTGAATGCCCCTCCTCAGACTTTTTTTTTTTTTTTTTTTACATGCGGTGGACGTAGGCTGAAGGTGGACAGTGTGATGACAGGCTCCTGGCACTCAATTACAATCCTGACATTCCAGAAATGTGGGGGGCTCAGTGTGTGTGTTAATGCCTCTTAGAGGGCTGCTCCATGACCGTCTTAGGACTTCCGTGGCCATTCACTGCCCCTCACCCAATTCTTGCCCCGCCCACTTCCCTCTCCCCTTGGAGAACAGCCCTAAGGGCAGGGCTATAAGAGCACCTCCCTGCGGTTCTCACCGACCTTCCAGGATGTGTCTGGCTGTCTGCACACAGCGGAGGGCCGGGGAGGTGAAGACGGAGGTGACTCTGATGCCACTGTCCAGTAGCGCTTCCCCTGGAAAAGAACAGGTGCAGAAACGCCTCCTCGTAACCGTGGCCTCCGATGGGTGGCCCAGTACCTGAGGGAGGCAGGGTCTTCAGGGGCCCCGAGATCCCCACCCCTGGGGCACACGCCTGTATCACTCCCTTGAGTGTGGCTGGAAGCCGTGGGGACATGAAGTGGCCCTCCTGGGACTGTGCTGTGTCACATGGCAGAAGGGGGGCAGGTGGGCCTGACCTATTCAGGTGAGCCCTTTAAAAGCAGAGATTTTTCTCCAGCTGTCGGAGAAAAGAAGTAAGAGAGATTCAGAGGGACGGGGATTCGATTGCCTGAGGGGCTCAGTCGGTTAAGGTCTGACTCTTGGTTTCGGCTCAGGTGGTGATCTCGGGGTTGTGAGATCGATCCCCACCCACGTCGGGCTCCGCACTGAACACGGAGCCTGCTGAAGATTTTCCCTCTCTCTCTCCCTCTGTCCCCACTTCCCCTCCTGCTCTCTCTCTCTCTCTTTCTCTCTCAAAAGAGTCCTGGAATTCGACATGCAAGAGATTCCTACTGCTGGCTTCAGAGATGGAGGGGACCATGTGGCAGGGAATGTGGGGGGCATGGGAGCCGAGCACGGACCTTTGCAGATAGCCAGCAAGGGAATGAGGGCTTCAGTTCTCCAACCGCAGGGAACAGAATCCCCCCAACAGCCTTTTGGGAGAAACTGGAACTGCTTCCGAGAGGCCCCCAATGGGCACTTATCCTGGCGGACACCTGGCTTTCGGGCTGTGAGATCCTGAGCAGAGAACCCAGGCTCGCCGAGCCGGAGCTTCGGCCTCAGGGAACCGTGAGCTGGCAGAAGGGTGTGGTTTCAAGGTCGCGTTGCTGCAGCAACGGGGAACTCAAGGCTACCCGAGGTTTCTGGGAGGACAAGCCTGGGAGTCATGTTGCCTCTCAAAAAACTAGACAGCCTGGTCCTTGGGAATGAAGGGGTCTTTTCAGTAGGATATATGCACAGTGCCAAGGCCAGTGAGGCTACAGAGGAAGGTGTCACAGGCTGGACTGTGTCCCCCAAATCAAGGACCCCCAGGTCCTTGAGTGTGACCTTCCTCGGGCACGGTGCCTTCATAACCATGGCCAAATTATGATGGATCGCCGTGGTGGGGGGTCTAGTTCATTCTGACCGGTGTCCTTGTAAAAGGGGGAGTTTGGACACAGAGACAGTGGGGACAGAGGGACGTGTCTATGCGCCACGGGGAGGGGCCCGGAGCAGATGCCTTCATGGCCACAGGAGGAACTCGGACTTCTGGCTTCCAGAACCGAGAGAGAACGCGTCCCTGTTGGAGAAGTCACTCCGTATTAGCACTTGGTTATGTGGCCTACGGAGCCCTGCCTCAGTGTCCTCCTCAGCAGAGTGGGCGTGTAGCGAGGGCTCAGTGATAACCACTGCTGTGATCACGGTAACTGTCCCCACACGTACCTGCCATCCTGGACTGGAATATTCCGCAAGATGATAAGGGTGGGTCGTTCTCAAAGTCTTTGATTCCGTTTCTCCTTCTGGGCAGACTGTAAGGGAAGTTGAGGTCTGGCCGGTAGTATTTCCCTAAAGCATAAATAAACACCAGGCGTTCAGGTTCCCAACTTAGCGCATCTTTAAAACCCCCAAGAGAGAGACCCGTATCGGAAGCAGGGTTATCCCTTAAATTGTCACCAGCTGTGTCTTTTCTGGAATGTGCTCTGTGATGTGGATTCCATTGGAGAGAAGTTGCTGCACGCATTTCCTCAAATACAGAAAACACAGGTTTTCACCTCAGGAAACGTGAGACCCTCTTTGTCCCCTGATGACCTCTCACAAAGGTTCAGTTATGCAATTTTCCTGACGAAGAATGGAGTGTCTCCATTCCTGGCTGAGCTTAACTTGATGGGAATCCCAAGTTGGCACCAATTACAGAGGTGAGATTCTGCGTGTCCCTATAGCTGGCAGTGTGCCATGTTGTCTCCGGGGATGGAGGACCCACGGCTAAGTGCTCCTGCATTTTGCATTATTCAGCCGATTGCTGGGTTGCACCTGGAAATCAGGAGGACCCGCGGGGACTCCCCCCACCCTCCATGTAGAGACTGTGAAGAGTTTGACCTTGAGCTCTACGACCTGACAGTCTGGTGCAAATCCTGCCCCCACGGGTTGCTAACTGTGTGATGAGAGGCAATGGACTTAATCTGCCTTATCAGTAAAAGGGGGAAATGATAGAGCTGTTACAGTGAGTCTCCGCGATATCGCTCGGGTCCCAGGGCCTGGCTCAGGGTAAGGGTCCAAGTGGCGGGCTGCATCTCGTACCGAATTATCCATCATCCCTGCAGAGCGCATGGCGCCATGTCCAGCCCTCACGTTCTCTCAAGCAGCCTCAAACCTCCCGGCTGCCAGCAGGTTCTCACAGCCAAGCTGCCTTTCCTGAAACCTGTTGTGCCTGGGGGGCAGGGCCTGTTACATGCCCTGCGGGAGTTCGCCAGCCCAGCCCTGCTCACAGCCTCCCGCCCTTCACAAGCAAGGGAGGCAGCCTGCTACTTTCAATGCCTTGGTTTTCCAGTTCCGTGCACGATTCTCCTGAAAGTTCCCTCCCTGGAATATCCACTGGCAGAGACATTGTTTGAAGAAAGGCCTTTAAATACCAAAATACATGTTGTGTTCCCTGGGAAAAGTGGAATTTGTTTTTTTTGGTTTTTGTTTTTTCCAAGAGAAGATCCACTGACTGTGTTGTCTTCTCAAAGGCATCTATGATCACAAAAGGTCGACCTGCTTCCGCGACGGTCCCTTGTCCTTGTTGATGCTCTGTCTGTGCGAGGTGGGGAGCAGAGCTCAGGAGAAGACAAGGCTCTGGTGCAACGTTAGGTTCTGGTGCTGAAGAACCTTTCAGACGTGGGGGTGACCTGGCCAACAGCATTGAGAAACGAGGGGCTGCATGAGGTGTGGGAATTTGACCCAGAAGTGAGCTGAATGAGAAGGGTCAGAGGAGAGGCTGACAGCTCATTCCCCCAACCACCCCATTGTAACACGATATGCAGAATTCGGACAAATAAGACCATCAGTATTCACTGCAGGCCACTCTGCCTAGTGCAAAGAACCACCAGGAGCCTCCTTCAAGCTGGGGCTCTCCAGCACCTTTAAAGTCCTTTCCCCTGTAGGTGACCTGGGCTTTTGTTTGGATGACCAATATCCTTCCTCTTTTCATGATGTCCCATCCCTGGTTTTGGAGCTGGTTGGCTTGGGCTGGTCCTCACACCAACACCGCCACTCGCACACTGACATCAGGGGCCATTTCAGTCCGTGGTCTCAGTCATTGTTGTCTTACAAGAACGTTTCTTCTAACTGCTGGTGTGAATGCCAGTCCATCCACAGCCACTGAGCATCCCGTGGTTTCTCTCCGGGGTCTCTGATTGATCTTGTTTTATAGAGAAAACCACCGCATCCCTTCCGCGGGTCCTGCAGGTATGTTCGGTCATGATGTAATCTGCTCAGAATTTTCCCGGTGTGAGCTGGTCATCTACCAACGGTTTTCCCGTACCCACGGTCCTTCTCTACATGTTGGTTACCTGCAAGTGTTTGCAGAGCCCCAGCCCAGCCCCAGTACCCACGGTCCTTCTCTACATGTTGGTTACCTGCAAGTGTTTGCAGAGCCCCAGCCCAGCCCCAGGCACTCGGGCTACAGAGTGTCCTGTGGGGTCTATGGCAGGCTGACTCCAAAGGAAGAGGGTGGGATTCCTTTCTGTCCTCCTGCCCCCCACCCCTTGGCTCCCAGAACAAGCCAGGCCAGCCTTCGTTCTTTCTCTTGGTGTCCACATGGCTTACTCCCCGCTGGACCATTTGTCCCCACTACTGAGCTGCATGGCATTACCGTATCTTAGTTTTTGTAATAATAATAATATATAATGATAGTAATGTGGGCAGCAAATGGCCAAAGTTGTCATAGTGATGATAAAGATGGTAAACTGCTCCCATCAGTCCCCGCCCAGGGCTGCCCTGTGCAGAAGAGCAGGTGTGCCCATCCTCAGGAGAACGGGTGGGCAGGGTGGTCCCTGCTGTCCTGGGTGGCCTGGACACCTGTTTCCATTCTGAGAAGGAAGTGTGATGAGCCTGTGGGCTCCGGGGGCTTGACTTCATGGCCCAAAGAGAAAGGGGCAGGCACATACCTTTCTCACTAACTGGGCGAAGTCTCCACTGTCCCGGGGCGGCAGCCCAAGGAGCGGGCGTGTGCAGGAGTCCAGTGCCGAGCTGTGGCTCACAATCAGGATGACGCCCGCTGTAGGGAAAAGCACACGCAGGGTCAGAGAGGGCACGGAGAGTGCCTTCGACTAGAATGAGTGTCCCCAGCGTTACCAGGGGAAGCCACCTCGAGGTGCATGCAGCCTGAGAGAGCCCAGGGAGGAAGTGGCGTGGCAGGTAGCCACGTGTGCCTCGTCCATGGGGCATCACATCCACAATCTGGGGTGGCACCTGCCGCGAGCTTCGGGGATGGGACTGTGCCGCGATCCAGGCCCCCACTTCTTGCAGGATGTTGTGGCAGCTACTGCCCAGGCTGGGTCTCTTAGCTAGAGAATCATCAGCCGCTTGGCCACCATGAGCCCGCTGATGCCTCTTGCTTCGATAGGAACCTTCTGAGTCCACAGGTGCGGCATGTCTTCTGCCAGCAGCATGACTGACTCAAGGAAGAAGCACAGCAGGGGAGAGCTGGCCCAGCTGGGCGAGTCTGGGAGGTGCCCTGGCCGGACCCCCCCCAGACCCACCTGCAGGAGGGAGGCTGGTGGTGGGCTTCCCCGGAGGGCTACGGCTGACACAGAACGATCCGTTCGCACTGCCTCCTAACACGACTGTCATTCTCCAGCAGGACCGAGGCCCTGACGGAATCCTCCTGTGTTATTTCCTGTTCATTCCACTCGCGCATCTTTGGTTTCCCAAGTCACGGTGTGGCGGCCAGGTGCCGTCCAGGAGGTGCACGCGCAGCTCGGACTCGGCCTGTGCTCTCAGCACGCGGGCGACTTGGGCACGCGCGATCCAGCCCTCGGAGCTTCAGTGTCATGAGCGGTACGTGGCGGTGACGTCACAGACCGCACAGGAAGGTGAGCAGTTAACAGATGACGTCCCTGGAGGGCTCCCTGCCCGGGGACCGGTAGGTGTTGGCTTTCACCCTCCAGCCCACCTGGATTTCTCATTCCTCCTCCGTGGCTTGCCACACAGGCCACCCTCCTGCCTTGCTCACACTCTGCCTCTGGGGCACTGTTTGCCTTCCAAACCCTGCTTGTCCCATGACTCAGTCTCTGCCACACGTGTGGCCCTGTGGACGACGGGCTGTGTTCCTTGCAGTGAACAGCGCATAGATGGTGCTCAGTGGGAGCGGGAGCTGATAAAGCAGATCTCCATCCCCATTCCCAAAGGCCTCACCCCTGTAGGGGCTCCTTAGAAGGGCAGAGCCTCCCACGGCCTCTGAATTTCAGCTCAGAACAGAGGCTTGACATGAACGGCTGGAAAGTGGCGGGCTGAGGAGGGACCTGGTGTGCAGTGGAAGGCTCTGAAGTCATCTTCCGTCCTTCGGTGCTCTGTGGTAGTCAATGTGAGGACAGGGCTTTGGTCATTGATTAAATGTCACTAAGGTGCGGTTTGCAAAAGTAGCTTCCCAGGAGACCGGCCGGTCGGAATAGGCAACGTAAAGCAGCTTCGTGCCAGCCGTGTCTGGGGGGCTGGGAGGCAAGGTTGGGGCTCTTCCTGCAGGACGCTTGGGAGTGTGTCCCCTTGTGCACCAGGGACTCTCGGGGAGGCCAGCAGCTCAGCTCTTCCCTGAGAGCAGAGATGGTCGTCCCCCGCCCGCATACATCTCCATCCCAGGTCTCTGGGATGAAGGACGAAAGGACCCTGGCCAGGGAGGGGGTCTGCTGGTCCCTTAACACCTCCGGGACTCTTCTTGGTGTAATTCAAAACCCCTAATACTCCAGATGCTGCACACCTTCCCCAGCAGCACTCAAACCCCTTGAGGGTAGACCACGCCTTCCTCACGTAGATCTCCCCCGCGGTGTCTCACTTGGTGTCTGACACTGCACGGTGTTCCATGCACCCTTGCTAAGCTATCTATTTAAATGCTTAGTTTTTAACTTTTTACTGCAGACATGTTCAGAGAAGCCCAAAGAGGCCCCAAGGTGGGCCTCATGCCTCCCGGAGCCCCAACGGCCTGACATTTGTGCTTTGTGCGCCGCTGAAACTCTCTCCTGCCCTCCCCCCTGTCCCTGATGTCACGGTATTTCAGGCTCTACCCAGGGCGGCCCCTGCCCGTGAGGACTTCCCACCCTCCCACACCGAACCTGCCCCTGTCCCACCTGATGAGACCTACTCAATCTCTCAGGCATTCCCACATTCGGACTTTTCTAAGGGTATCAGCCGTCTCCGTATAGAGATGTTTGTGCCGATCGGCATTCAAATGTGGCCTGACCTCTGGTCCTTCATCCTTGGTCTCTTGTTTCCCAGGAAGCAGACGTGCATGGCCTGTGGTGACCTGCTGTCCTGGGCCCCATCGGCTCTCAGTCTCAGAATTGGGGACCCAGGGGAGATGTGGTTATGCACCCCATTCCTGTAGATGCTGCCATATGACATGCTGGTTGGGGTGGGGGGTGGAGGAGGTGGGGGTGTTCTTAGGTTCACGATATTGGCCAGTCTCCACCCCAGGGGTAAGACCCCAACCCCCGGGGGGCTGCCCATCCCCCAGAATGGAGGAAGGGGGCAGGGGAGGCACTTACCATCCCGCGGGCAGGCGCTAATAATCCGTCCCACGCTCACCGCACACCTTTCCACGTACTCGTCGTAACTCTCGGCCGGCAGGAGGGAGGCGAGGGGAAACGCAGGCCTAAGGATAGGAGAGAGGACCCTGCCACGCTGGCCCGCTCGCTGTGTGGTCAGCGGGAGAAGAAGGGGCCCTTCCAGGACAGCCCTGCCTCAAGGCTGCTCATGGTCCCCAACAAGCGAAAGGCTGACATCTAATCTCCGGCAAGTGCCCTCACTGAACACCAGAGGGTTTTGTGATGGTGAAGAGTCGGCCACGGGCAGAGAATGACAAAACCTGTCTCCTTGACCACGCACCCTAGCCAGGCTCCTCCAGCTCTCGAGGCCGACCACTGGGCATCCGTGTCCAACTGTGCAGAGTCAATTTTAGCAAGACTCTTACTAAAACGGTGACGTGGGCTCCCCCATGATAGCTGAGTGACCCCCGCATGTCCCATTCCCCCAGGTGATGTCCGGTCACTCTGGCCTGCCTTCAGCAGCCGCTGCCAGGACAGTTTATGGAGAATTGCCCACCCTCCTCGCCACTTTCCACCCCTCACTGCTCCCCCACTGGTCCTCGCTGTGTCGGAGTGGAGTCCTGTCCTGTTCCCCTGTGACAACCCCCAGTGCAGCAGTCTCCCCAAATCCGTCTTGCTTACTGTCTTTAACAGGTGTCGGGAACACTTCTTCTTGAGCAGGAACGAGAGAAGCGCCGGGCCCGGCAGAGCGCGAGGACGGGCGTACCTGTACTCCGTGCTGACGTTGAAATTCGCCTCTTTCAGCTCGTCTGGGGTCATGAGAGCCGGGGTGGTTTTGCCGGACTCCCACTTCGTCCACTCGAAGATCCCGGGTTCCACTCTTATCTTGATTCTTTTCTCCAGTTTGAGCTCTGAATCGGAACACAAGCCTTTGTCATCCTCAGAAAACATCCTTAAAATTTTTTTCCCCTTTGCAAATACTGTTCTGTGATTACTCATAGCTGTGCTTTTTCTGAGTCAAAAACCACTGGGTGTTTGGGAGGTGACTGAGGCGCGGTGATGGCCGTCCGTTGGGAAGGGACTGGGGCTGGGGGGCTCCACCAGCAGCGGGTTCTCCCCGGCACTCACTCTGATGGTCCAACACAGCTCTGCAGCCAGACCAGCTCCGGGTCTGGTCCTTGGTCAAGAGCGAGAGCGCACCCCACTGGCCAACCCGATGGTCCCGGGAAGACACGGCCGGTGGAGGAGCACACTGGTCCCGCTAAGGCCCCATCCCGACATACACCCCAGACGGAGCAGAAGGCGAAGGCAGAGGAAGCTGTCTCTTGGAACACCCGGACTTCCCCAGCTAGCCTTCCCAAGCACTGTGTCCCTCAGCTAAGAGGACACCTGCGGCAGAAGGCCATTCCTGCGTGTTTTTGTTTGAAAGGGAGCAAAGGTCATTCAGCTCAAATGCTCGAAATAAAATCAGTTCCCAAAACGCATTCCAGGTCTGTGGAACCGGTCCCTGTGCCAAAGCCCGTGGAGAAAAGGGAGTTACAGGGTCTAACCCGGCTTACAGCCTCTCGCCAGCCCGTGGAGGGCCCGTGTCCACTGTGTGCAGGTCATGTGAAGGAGCAGTAGAAGTGCCTCAGTGGGCTTGGCCACTCCGTCTGTGGAGCTATTGGGCAGCCACGGCTTTGTGGGTCACCCTTTAGGAAATGGTCCCTCCAGACAGCCACTGACACGGCGTTGAAGTTAAGGGTAGCAGGTTGGCATCTCAGATGTTTGTTGGGAAACAGATCGGTCATGTTCCAGGACCCAGGACGAAGGCCGAGTGCCCTCCTTTTCTCTGAAGGGACCCAGGGTGTGTGAACTGGTGCCTTTATCAGGCATCACGATAAGAGTAAGGATGTTCTGTGCGTAGACCACAAGTCCCCCAGAGACCACATGGCAGACACTGCTGTTACCCCCACTAGGGACCATTTTGGAGAACTTTTTATCCCGCTTATCAAGCCCGCCCGTCGTGAGAGCGAGCTGTTCCCCTGCTCCTCCGCGTCTGCACCTGCAGGAAAGCCCTGGGCCCAGTCGGGGCGGGTCTCAGTGTAAACTCATGCTCTCGGCCTCCGTGGGCCTCGGTGGGCTCTCCATGCTGCCCAGCGGCCATCCTCCATCTCCCCGCCGTGACCTGGCCCCTCTCTCTGATGGGCGTGTCATACCTTCCGTGTGTCCCCAGACCTCCAGGAGGCCTTCCCTTTCTCACTTTCAGCTGGTGGCCCTCTGTCTCTGAGAACGTGGAGGCAAGCCCTCCCCTGCCTTGGCACCCTGCTGCGTCTGTGTCCACGTGCTCTGCCCTCCATCCGATCGCTGTGCTCGACCTGTGCTCCTGCACCACGACCTACACCACACGCCCCCCACCCCACACAAGGAGGGCAGGGGTCCAGCAGGAGATGCAGAACCAAGGTCCCCACACAGGCTGCCCTTCTTCGGCAGAAGCTGCAAAAGGCCTGCCCGTGGCTTCCTGAGAGACATCAGCCTTCGATGGTGCTGGACAGCTCCCAGGAGCCCATCCCCTTGCCCTGGCAAGCGTCCCGGGCTTGGGGCTCAGAAGGGACCACTGCCATTCTCAGCTCTCTGGGTTTCTGAATGCCCCTCCTCAGACTTTTTTTTTTTTTTTTTTACATGCGGTGGACGTAGGCTGAAGGTGGACAGTGTGATGACAGGCTCCTGGCACTCAATTACAATCCTGACATTCCAGAAATGTGGGGGGCTCAGTGTGTGTGTTAATGCCTCTTAGAGGGCTGCTCCATGACCGTCTTAGGACTTCCGTGGCCATTCACTGCCCCTCACCCAATTCTTGCCCCGCCCACTTCCCTCTCCCCTTGGAGAACAGCCCTAAGGGCAGGGCTATAAGAGCACCTCCCTGCGGTTCTCACCGACCTTCCAGGATGTGTCTGGCTGTCTGCACACAGCGGAGGGCCGGGGAGGTGAAGACGGAGGTGACTCTGATGCCACTGTCCAGTAGCGCTTCCCCTGGAAAAGAGCAGGTGCAGAAACGCCTCCTCGTAACCGTGGCCTCCGATGGGTGGCCCAGTACCTGAGGGAGGCAGGGTCTTCAGGGGCCCCGAGATCCCCACCCCTGGGGCACACGCCTGTATCACTCCCTTGAGTGTGGCTGGAAGCCGTGGGGACATGAAGTGGCCCTCCTGGGACTGTGCTGTGTCACATGGCAGAAGGGGGGCAGGTGGGCCTGACCTATTCAGGTGAGCCCTTTAAAAGCAGAGATTTTTCTCCAGCTGTCGGAGAAAAGAAGTAAGAGAGATTCAGAGGGACGGGGATTCGATTGCCTGAGGGGCTCAGTCGGTTAAGGTCTGACTCTTGGTTTCGGCTCAGGTGGTGATCTCGGGGTTGTGAGATCGATCCCCACCCACGTCGGGCTCCGCACTGAACACGGAGCCTGCTGAAGATTTTCCCTCTCTCTCTCCCTCTGTCCCCACTTCCCCTCCTGCTCTCTCTCTCTCTCTTTCTCTCTCAAAAGAGTCCTGGAATTCGACATGCAAGAGATTCCTACTGCTGGCTTCAGAGATGGAGGGGACCATGTGGCAGGGAATGTGGGGGGCATGGGAGCCGAGCACGGACCTTTGCAGATAGCCAGCAAGGGAATGAGGGCTTCAGTTCTCCAACCGCAGGGAACAGAATCCCCCCAACAGCCTTTTGGGAGAAACTGGAACTGCTTCCGAGAGGCCCCCAATGGGCACTTATCCTGGCGGACACCTGGCTTTCGGGCTGTGAGATCCTGAGCAGAGAACCCAGGCTCGCCGAGCCGGAGCTTCGGCCTCAGGGAACCGTGAGCTGGCAGAAGGGTGTGGTTTCAAGGTCGCGTTGCTGCAGCAACGGGGAACTCAAGGCTACCCGAGGTTTCTGGGAGGACAAGCCTGGGAGTCATGTTGCCTCTCAAAAAACTAGACAGCCTGGTCCTTGGGAATGAAGGGGTCTTTTCAGTAGGATATATGCACAGTGCCAAGGCCAGTGAGGCTACAGAGGAAGGTGTCACAGGCTGGACTGTGTCCCCCAAATCAAGGACCCCCAGGTCCTTGAGTGTGACCTTCCTCGGGCACGGTGCCTTCATAACCATGGCCAAATTATGATGGATCGCCGTGGTGGGGGGTCTAGTTCATTCTGACCGGTGTCCTTGTAAAAGGGGGAGTTTGGACACAGAGACAGTGGGGACAGAGGGACGTGTCTATGCGCCACGGGGAGGGGCCCGGAGCAGATGCCTTCATGGCCACAGGAGGAACTCGGACTTCTGGCTTCCAGAACCGAGAGAGAACGCGTCCCTGTTGGAGAAGTCACTCCGTATTAGCACTTGGTTATGTGGCCTACGGAGCCCTGCCTCAGTGTCCTCCTCAGCAGAGTGGGCGTGTAGCGAGGGCTCAGTGATAACCACTGCTGTGATCACGGTAACTGTCCCCACACGTACCTGCCATCCTGGACTGGAATATTCCGCAAGATGATAAGGGTGGGTCGTTCTCAAAGTCTTTGATTCCGTTTCTCCTTCTGGGCAGACTGTAAGGGAAGTTGAGGTCTGGCCGGTAGTATTTCCCTAAAGCATAAATAAACACCAGGCGTTCAGGTTCCCAACTTAGCGCATCTTTAAAACCCCCAAGAGAGAGACCCGTATCGGAAGCAGGGTTATCCCTTAAATTGTCACCAGCTGTGTCTTTTCTGGAATGTGCTCTGTGATGTGGATTCCATTGGAGAGAAGTTGCTGCACGCATTTCCTCAAATACAGAAAACACAGGTTTTCACCTCAGGAAACGTGAGACCCTCTTTGTCCCCTGATGACCTCTCACAAAGGTTCAGTTATGCAATTTTCCTGACTAAGAATGGAGTGTCTCCATTCCTGGCTGAGCTTAACTTGATGGGAATCCCAAGTTGGCACCAATTACAGAGGTGAGATTCTGCGTGTCCCTATAGCTGGCAGTGTGCCATGTTGTCTCCGGGGATGGAGGACCCACGGCTAAGTGCTCCTGCATTTTGCATTATTCAGCCGATTGCTGGGTTGCACCTGGAAATCAGGAGGACCCGCGGGGACTCCCCCCACCCTCCATGTAGAGACTGTGAAGAGTTTGACCTTGAGCTCTACGACCTGACAGTCTGGTGCAAATCCTGCCCCCACGGGTTGCTAACTGTGTGATGAGAGGCAATGGACTTAATCTGCCTTATCAGTAAAAGGGGGAAATGATAGAGCTGTTACAGTGAGTCTCCGCGATATCGCTCGGGTCCCAGGGCCTGGCTCAGGGTAAGGGTCCAAGTGGCGGGCTGCATCTCGTACCGAATTATCCATCATCCCTGCAGAGCGCATGGCGCCATGTCCAGCCCTCACGTTCTCTCAAGCAGCCTCAAACCTCCCGGCTGCCAGCAGGTTCTCACAGCCAAGCTGCCTTTCCTGAAACCTGTTGTGCCTGGGGGGCAGGGCCTGTTACATGCCCTGCGGGAGTTCGCCAGCCCAGCCCTGCTCACAGCCTCCCGCCCTTCACAAGCAAGGGAGGCAGCCTGCTACTTTCAATGCCTTGGTTTTCCAGTTCCGTGCACGATTCTCCTGAAAGTTCCCTCCCTGGAATATCCACTGGCAGAGACATTGTTTGAAGAAAGGCCTTTAAATACCAAAATACATGTTGTGTTCCCTGGGAAAAGTGGAATTTGTTTTTTTTGGTTTTTGTTTTTTCCAAGAGAAGATCCACTGACTGTGTTGTCTTCTCAAAGGCATCTATGATCACAAAAGGTCGACCTGCTTCCGCGACGGTCCCTTGTCCTTGTTGATGCTCTGTCTGTGCGAGGTGGGGAGCAGAGCTCAGGAGAAGACAAGGCTCTGGTGCAACGTTAGGTTCTGGTGCTGAAGAACCTTTCAGACGTGGGGGTGACCTGGCCAACAGCATTGAGAAACGAGGGGCTGCATGAGGTGTGGGAATTTGACCCAGAAGTGAGCTGAATGAGAAGGGTCAGAGGAGAGGCTGACAGCTCATTCCCCCAACCACCCCATTGTAACACGATATGCAGAATTCGGACAAATAAGACCATCAGTATTCACTGCAGGCCACTCTGCCTAGTGCAAAGAACCACCAGGAGCCTCCTTCAAGCTGGGGCTCTCCAGCACCTTTAAAGTCCTTTCCCCTGTAGGTGACCTGGGCTTTTGTTTGGATGACCAATATCCTTCCTCTTTTCATGATGTCCCATCCCTGGTTTTGGAGCTGGTTGGCTTGGGCTGGTCCTCACACCAACACCGCCACTCGCACACTGACATCAGGGGCCATTTCAGTCCGTGGTCTCAGTCATTGTTGTCTTACAAGAACGTTTCTTCTAACTGCTGGTGTGAATGCCAGTCCAACCACAGCCACTGAGCATCCCGTGGTTTCTCTCCGGGGTCTCTGATTGATCTTGTTTTATAGAGACAACCACCGCATCCCTTCCGCGGGTCCTGCAGGTATGTTCGGTCATGATGTAATCTGCTCAGAATTTTCCCGGTGTGAGCTGGTCATCTACCAACGGTTTTCCCCAAGCATTTCCCCCTCTTCTCAGCCTGCAGGGCTCCGGGAGGAATTCCAAAAGAGCTTAGCTAGCCCAGGTACTGTGAACCTATATTCATTCAATATCTTCATTTATACAGTTATCTGTGGCTTTGAAATCGTGACGTGCTGGGCTTTCCATTAAGGGGTGTGCATTGGTACAGATGTGGGTCACTAGTAGAGACTGTTAGTGGGTGGGCTGTATTTACAAGCCCTGTCCTTAGTTCTTGGCATTCCAGGGGGGTGACCTTGGGGTACGCAAGATGCATGTTCGAAATACGTCTGCCCGTTGAGCAGCACAGTTAAACATTGTAGGGAAATGACCACAGCAGTGAAGAGTCACTCAGAGAGATACAGCAATGAGCCTGCGAGATAGGGTTGTGCCAGCAGCTGAGGGTTCAGAGACCACATGGCACAGAGACCTCAATCATCTTGAGTCAATGCTGCTCACCAGCCAACTACCATGTGAGCGTCCAGAAGAAAGACGACCATCCGTGGGTCACACCAGCAGATTGCTTACTGTTGGCAGCCATTCCTCCACCTCCCACACAGCATGTGAGGTAAGATACTCCCAGACAGCGAGCACACTCAGGGTATGAGTATATGTCCCACCAAGAAAGATGGAGGGGGCACCCCTCCCACACGTACTATCTCTACACAGTCACTCTCAAGAACGGTACCACAGGAGAGCGGGCTCAGGAGGTCGAGGAGGGATGCCATTTGTTAGATCTACCTTCTTTCTGGGCTTCAATTCTGTCAGGATGCTACCTACCATCCGGAGTAGAGCACTGCTGTAGCCACGACTTCCCGAAGATTTGGTCCACTCTCTCCCCATGGCGCACCACCAAAACACTCCTTCTCGCTATCGTGGCCTGAGATGATGGAAGGAAAGACACATGCATTTTTACATCTGCATTCTTAGACTTTCTCAATGGGCACCTCCTCCTGCCATCCCACGGTGGCCTAGAAAACGGATCTCTTTCTTCCTGCCTCAGTGGCTACAGCCCATTTCACCAAAATCATTGCAACGAAAGGAGGTTAGGAATTGCAGGTGGAAATCTCTTCAATTTCTAGCAACTTTTTATTTCCTGGGCATTATAACACTACCAAGGAGATGAAAAGCAATAGGAACAGCCCATACCATAGAAAGCACATCACCTTTCCTACCTTTCCATTTCTTCCAAGTCCTTACTCCTGTCCTAGTCCCTCTGGGCAGCTATAACAGGACGCCACAGCCTGGGGGCTCATAACCAACAGACATCTATTTCTTACAGTTCTGAAGCCTGGAAATCTGAGATCGGGGTACCTGCATGATTGGGTGAGGGCCCTCTTCTTGGCCAAATTCTTGTTGGGTCCTCATAGGGTAGAAGGGGCATGGGAATCTGTAGGGTCCTTTGCAGAAGGGCACTAATCCCATCATGGGGATTCCACCCTCCTGACCTAACCACCTCTCAGAGCCCCCACCTCTTAATGCTAGTACACTGGTGCTTGGGATTTCAACATGAATTTTGGGGGGACACAAACATTCAGACCAGAGCATCCCTCCATAGTTACTTCTTAGGACATTTTCTATATCCACACATTATCATATAATAGATATTACATATTTTCTTTCTATATAGATACTACTGTTAGTATCCTGGGGGCCCAGCATACTGGCAACATGCCTGTCTGACCTTGGGATGCAAGCTTCAGTTCACAGACTCCCCAGCAAGGGAGCTTGGTACCAAGGGACAAACATGGAAAGACGAGTCATAGAAGATGTTGGGATACAGAGCTGACTGTATGTGCCACGGGAGGTGGGCTGGGGGGACTTCAGTTTGGACATGGGACTTGGTCATCCCTGGAGCCAAGGTCACAGGGATGGACGGGCCAAGGTCACCAAGACGGACAGGCCAAGGTCACCGGCATGGATGGGTTATGGTAATCAGGGATGGCTAGGCCAACCTCATCATGGATGGTTGGAATGGGAAGGGCATCCGGGTAGGAGGCAGCTCTAACTGCCAGTCTGCTCGTCCTTGCCCAGCTCCTTTTCCCTAAGTAGAGCCTTTTCTCCCTCTCCCTGTCTTTGGCCTCACAGCTCTTTGAGGCTGGGCTTAGGGTGAAAGTGAAAAGCTGGTACTTTGTGTGTTTTTGCCACTGAGTGGCGTAAGGAAGGGAGGTGGTAAGATGTGGCCTTCCTCAGCGTGGAGTCCCATCGTGAGCCCCAGACCCGCTCTGACTTTCCCTAAAATCTAGAGAGGAAAATGCAGATATGTTGGCCCCCCAGACCCCTGTGGGGGCAGTAAGACCTCCGGACCCAGCCAGTGCTCCTGACCATTCCCTTTCGGATTTGATTCTGCTCACAGGGCGGAGCCGGGAGGGCCTGCCCCTGCCGCCTGCTTCCTCCAATACTTCTCTGAGCTTGTTGGCAGGTTGAAGTGGGACCATGTGTTGGGAAGCAGTGAGGAAATGGCTGAGAAGGAGGGTGGGCAGCAAGGTCACCTGCCTCCCAGGGTTTGTGGGGCCAGCATTCCAGGTAGCTCCTGCCAGACCCTCCCGTCTCTTGAGGAGTCCACAGCCCTCTAGGCGATGTAGACGGTCTGACTGCACTCAGATGTGTGCACGAAAGTATGTGTGAGCCTGTGGAAACTTCCAAATCTCCACGTGCAGATTCTTGGTGCCTTGGGGCCAATTCTCCGCAATGGACATAGGATCAAGGCAAAGGAAAGATTATGATGGTCTCTTCCTACAGTGTGCACCTCGGTGGTGCTGGGGACGAATGCACCTTGCCGGACAGAGCCCCAAAGGGAAGTTTGTCTCATTGTCTTGCAGTCGTGAAGGGCGGCTAATGCCTCCGGGCGCCAGGTTGCCTTTCCCCAGGGGAATGAATTTTACCATAGCTCAGCCCCTGCCCCTGTCAAGGGCTGCCTTGCAGGCAGATTGCAGGACACACGTGGGCTCCCAGCTTGAGTCTGCTTCCTGACGATTTCCATTGTCAGTACTGATGCACTGGGTGGAGGTTCTGAACTTAGAGCATTCTCTTCCCTGAGGAGCTGAGAGCATTTGAACTTTGAAATGCAGAGCTTTGAGACAGAAATATTGAGATAAAAGGCAAGGTCCTCGGGGACTGGAAAGGCCTCGCTCCTGGGGCCTAGGGGACACCAGGACCGCATTGCCTCTTTAAATGTGAGAGGTCCCCAGGCTCCTGTAGCAAAGCATCACCACCTGGGACTTCAAGCAAAAGCCATGCAGTCATGGAGTTTGGAGGCTAGGATTCCAAAATCATGGTGTCAGCAGGGCCGCTGCCTCTGAGCTTTGAGGGAGGGATCCTTCCTGTTTCTCTCAGCTCCCGGGGCCCCAGCAGTCCTTGACCTTGGCGGAGACACTCCAGCCTGCCCTGACACTCACGGGGCCTCCTCCTCTGTGTGTCTCTGGTCTCTCCTCTTCCCTGTGGATCAGACACCATGTTTGTCTCTCCTAGAGGTAGCTGTGATTGGATTGAGGGCACATGGGATATTCTCCATCAAGACCCTTAGCTCAGCCTTTGGGCAAAGATGCTTCTTCCTCATAAAAGAACACTCACAAGTTCCAGGAACCGGGGCCTCCTATCTTTGGGGCCAGTTTTCAGCCCACTAGTGTCTGCGTATTGAAGCTGGTACCACAATCTTTTTTTCCTCTACATGGACGGGTGAGCTCAGACCAGGCGAGAAGGGGCAGGCTCGCAGGGGGAGATCTGTGAGGTTTTCACTCATTTAAAGTTGCAGTGAGTTCGGATGTAGGCCGAGCTATGAGCTGACCCTTCCATTCTAGCTTCCTGTCCTCCATCTGGAAAGGGGGACATGGCCTCAGGGAACCCCATCCCAGTCCGTGCCTGCTCTCCTGCACCCCACTAAGGGGCCCAGTCCAGCCTCTGCTGTGCCTTCCAGAGTCTGGGCAGTCTGGGCAGGGGAGCCCTGTTTTTGTCTGTCTCTGGCTTCTGCCTGGCAGCCGCTCGGCCTGCGGTGTTGCCTCCAACTGAAGACCCGTCTGATGGGGACGCTCTGTGGCCTTCCCGGGGCCAGCGTCTGGTGCTCAGCCCTCGTCTGGACCCAGTGCACCCCAGCCTGGAGGGCGGGTGGCTTCTTGGGGAAGGAGGGTGAGCTTTGGATTTAGGGCGATTGGATCATGAGTTCTGTAGGTCATTCTGTGATTCACCCAATGAGACTTGCAAGCCAGGCCCCGAGCAGGTGCTGAGGACACAGGGATGAGCCAGACATCATGGCCCTGCCCTCTGCGGAGGGACAGACTCTCAGCACCGAGGGCCTGGCCTGCGGTGGGTACCTTGTCCCGTGTGATCCTCCCAAACAACCAAGTTCCGGGATGCTTAGGTGCCTGATTATGCCCTGCAAGCTTCCTACCCTCCATGAGTCTCAGTCTTCCGTCTGTGAAATGGGGACTAACACCTCCCATGCGGTTGGAGGTGGCTACGCCGAAATCCTAATGTGCTGTGGGGGCACGGGACCCAGGACGTGGAGGGACCCCTTCGGAAACGACGTGGTCAGAGAGGCATCTCCCCTGAGGTGGGAAGGGGTCAAGGGCTAGTTGCAGGAGTTGCCCTGCCCCCTGGGGGTTCCTGCATAAGGAACCTGAGGGCCAGGCTGCCCATACCCAGATGGCGCCAGGGACACCATGTCACTTGTTTGCTTTGGGGGAGGGGCTGTCTGCTTCATGGAGGCCCTGCAGGCAGCCTTTCCTCCTGGACATGCCCCACACAGGTGGCAGGGCTCACGTGTCCCTGCTGTGCCCCAGAGCCTGGCCATGTGGCTGCCGGCCTTCCGAGTTACCAAGGACCAGCCCCCTTTTCTCCCCCCATGCCGACTTGGAAGACCCCCATCTTTGGGGCCCTGGGGCAGGTGATTTCTTCAGGGCCACACAGCGTGCTGATGAAACAATTGACATAAGAGTCTGGGATTCTGGGCAGGGCTGTGTCCCCACATCTTCCCTGCCCCTTGCTCTGGCGCCATGATCCACTGCGTTACAGACATGTGTTGCGTGTTCCTGTGACATCCAGAAGGCTGCCTTCAGGAGCTCATAGCCTGGCTCACAGTTATGGGGGGTCCACCCCTCTGCCCTGGGGTGGATGGAGCAGCAGGGTCAATGTCTCTGCACTACAGGGCAGAGTGTGTCGCAGAGACACCTGGGTCTGTAGCTGTACCGAGGGCCCAAGACTACCATGGAGTTGATAGAAAGTGTGGCTTCCCTTCGCTCATCTTATAAAACAGAGAGTTCTGTCACCTGTAAAGCCTGGATGCTGCTAATGTCCCTTGATGTCTGTGAAGGGTGGGGTTCCCCGTTTTGCCGGCTGCTGGCCTCACCGTCCTTTCTGGACATCAGGTCCATGGCCAGGCTGAAGGTGTAAGTCCTGCGGGAGAAGGAACAGGTGTGCTCTTGCCGTGCAGACACGGGGAAGCAGCTGTCTGCATCTGGTCATGCACATGCGTGGGGACGTGCAAGACAGGATGGGCAGGGAAGGTCAAGGATGAAACACAACTGGGTGTTCAAAGAGCCCAGGGCTCAGCACATAACAAATCCTGAGTAAATCCCCTTATGGGCTGAACTGTGTCCCCTCGACATTTACGGTCCTGACCCCCCGCATCTCAGAGTATGACTCTATTGGAAACAGGGTTTTTAAAGAAGTAAATAAGGTAAAATGAGGCCAAGTAGGGTAGCCCAATTCTATCTTATAAGAGGAGACAAGGGAGTATGGAGAAACACCAAGGATGCTGGCCCAGAGGAAAGACCATGAAGAGGCATCAGGAAGGTGGCCGTCTCTACGCCAAGGATAGAGGCCTCTGGAGAAACTAGCCCTGCCCACACCCTGACCTTGGACTTGCAGCCTGCAACCGTGAGAGGAGAAACGTCTGTTGTTTAAGTCCCCAGGCTGGCAGATGTGGCATGTGGCCCAGGAAAACCAGGGCACCATCCGTATAGATTCACCTTCTAAAATAGCAAAGGTGTGAAGACAGGTGTGGCAGGGATACAGGAATGAATGAGCAGTCAGAGACACATTAAGATCTAGGGAAACACATAGGAAAGGAGTGGGTGATTTAGGGGGGTGGTGGGTAAAACAGGACCCGAGGAGTAGAGGGTGGTGAGGAAATTGCCACTTGTCCAAGGAACCAAGGAAGATGCCATATGGTGGGCACACATTTGGGGGGATTGGGGGGGATAGAGGGAGAAGATGACAGCTAAGCAGAGTCATGTGAACTCCGGGACATGAGGGGGGTCGAGTGTGTCTGGAAGGAATGGGGGAAGGGCCAGAGGAGGAGAGTGAACGGTCACTTACATCCTCTAAGAATAAGCAAATGGCCAAGTTCCCCAGGGGAAACTCATTTTATAAAAGGGGAGATCATCTTTATAGATTCTATTTTAAAATAATCTACAATCAACACCCAAAACACAAATAATCCAATGAAAAATGGGCAGAAGACATGAGCAGACATTTCTGCAAAGAAGACATCCAGATGGCCAACAGACATATGAAAAGATGTTCAACATCACTCATCATCAGGGGAATGCAAATCCAAACTACAATGAGATTCCGCCTCACACTTGTCAAGATCGCTAAAAATCAAACACAAGAAACAAGTGTTGATGAGGGTGTAGAGAAAGGGGAACCCTTGTGCACTGTCGGTGGGAATGCAAACTGGTGTAGCCAGTCTGGAGAACAGTATGGAGGTTCCTCAAGAAGTTAAAAATTAAACTACCCTACCATCTAGCAATTATACTACTAAGTATTTAACCAAAGGATACAAAAATTCTGATTCAAAGGGCCCATGCACCCTGATGGTTATAGCAGAAGTATTTACAGTAGCCAAGATATGAAAACAACCGAAGTGTCCATCTGCTGATGAATGGATAAAGAAGATGTGGTATTTATACACAGTGGAATATTACTCAGTCGTAAAAAAGAACAAAATCTTGCCATTTCCAATGACATGGGTGGAACTACAGAGTATTATTCTGAATGAAATAAGTCAGTCAGAGAAAGACAAATACCATATGATCTCAGTCATGTGTGGAATTTAAGAAACAAAACAAAGAAGCAAGAGGAAAAGAAAGAGAGAGAGAGAGAAACCAAGAAACAGACTCCTAACTACAGAGAAGAAACCCATGGTCACCAAAGGGGAAGTGGGTAAGGGGATGCATTAAATGGGGGATGGGGATTAAAGAGTACAGTTACCATGATAAAAAATACACAAAAAACTTAAAATCTACATCAGAATAGACAAAAAGAGCAGTAATTAGAAAGGGAAACAAAAAAGGGTTTATGTTTCAGTTTGTTTTTAAGGTACATGTGTGTTTGTTTGCTGGTGGGAATGAGAGTCTTGGGAATGGTAGGTGGTGCTGGCGTGGTGCCCTTGCAGGGCCTGGGATGCCCAGAGGGATGGGGTGTGGGGCACGGGGCACGGTGGGTTGGCACCCCTGGGCAGGAGCTCAGACTGCATAGCACAGTCTGATGAGGGAGAAAGGCACGTGGGCCTAAGCTGCATGTGGGCGGCCTGGTGGCCAGAGCTGGTGTACACTTCTGACTATTCACCTGCCACAGTGGCCAGAAGTGGAGAATCCAGTAGGTGGCCTCTTGGTGACGTGAAAACTTCAGAGACAAATCCACTGGAGGACAGAAGTGCCTGGCCACAGCTGACATGGCTACAGAGGAACTGTGGGGGGAGGTAATGGGCTCACACGCACTGGGATGGTTGGGAAGGATGCACTGCCCTCCCTCCTGTGTTCTGAAGAGCATCGTCTCCTCTTGCTCTTCCAACTAGAGTCTGCCGCATGGTTTTCTGCACCCAGAAGCCTTACATTCTAAGCACTTAATAGTCACTATTAAACATCGATTGCCAGGTGTCTGACGAAGACTCCTTCTGCCGCTTCCATGCTTTCAATGCTCTCCTCAGTCCAGAAATCAGAAATAAATTCACTTGAAGTGCCTTCTACTTTATATGATTTTCTGTTTCCATTTAATTCTTGGCTTTGAGTTCTGTGTATGAGGGGAGACCACATAAAATACCGTTCATTTTATACCCATTTCTCTTTCTGATGCTCCAGCAGCTGTGAACAGGCCCGGCCTCCGCTCTGGTATGTGTTCTGCTCCACGGATCTGCTTTTCCTCCTTCCCTCAAGCCAGGACTCAATCCTCAGTTTATAATAGGTTTTTAATATGTGTAAAGTAACTATCTCTTCTCATCATGTTTATTTTTCAACGTTTTCTCAGCTCTTCTTCCATTTATTTTGCCAGATACACTTTTCAACCATTCAGGGAAGTTCCAGCAAATGATCCCATTGAGATTATTCCTGGAATTTCGTTAAACCTGAAGATTCAGTGAATCCAGGAGGAACTGATACATTCCCAGTTGATCTTCCTCAACCACGAATGTGGTGTGAGTCTACATCTTCCTTCCATGTGGGAATGTTAGTGTTTCTCCCATAAATACTTCATGTCTCAGATTCTCCTGAACCACTGCTAGTCCCGATACACCCATGTTGAGACCTGACCAGGGCCAGAGCCTGGGGCTCCTCGGGAGCGTTTGCCCTGCACCCCAGCCTCTGGCCACCAGCCTTCCACTGCCACCTCCACCTCTACCACCACCACCTCATGCCGCGGACCACTCATGCCCATGTGGTGAATTTGGTGAACGCATTCTCAAACTGTCTGCAAATTGTACCTTCTCTAGTCAGGTTGTCGCCTACCCCCATGTTGTGCTGGAAACTCTCCATAGCGAGATCTAGCTCACGTGGATTTCCTTTGCTCACCTACTCTCAGTGTCCGAGGCCAGGTCCCGAGAGCTGCAGGGCTCTGAGAACTCTGGCGTCCACGTCCAAACCATTGACATCTCCCTCCTCCCGGAGCATAGGCCCTATTTACAGTCTCCTGCTGTCAAAGGAAACGTCGGTGGGTTTCCTCTTCCTGAGGATGGGGCGGGCGGCTACCCCGCTCAAGCCTTGCCGTGCACACAACAGAGCCTCCTTATCTATAAATAGCATCTGTGAAAACTACAGTTGGAGAGAAAACCAAATTGTTTTTTTGCTTGTCTTTCAAATGAAATATAATCAAGATTACAATGAGAGGAGAAAGGAAAGAACTTAACATTTAACTATTTCTCATTTTTTCTCAGGAGAATGACTTAAGGGTCCACTTACAACACAGAGTAGATGGATTCAAATTCTCCCTGGCTTTTAGAAGGGGTGTAGCTACCGTCTATGGGGTTTTACAGACCACATCCTCATATTAGATTCCTGGGCAGACATAAGATGGTAACAGAGACCGGCCGGCTGATCCAGTAGACATCTATTGTCTCCATTCGAGTTCAAGTTCCGAGATCCACGCTTGGACAGGGCTGGCTTCTCTGGAAGTCCCTCTAATGGGTAGTGTGTGGATGCCATCTTCTCCCTGGGTGCTTAGGTGGTTTCCCTCTGTGCGTGTCTGTGTGCTGATCTCCTATCATCAGGACATGGGTCAGACTGCCTGGGGGCCCCTCTAGTGACCTCATTCTTCCTTAATCCCCTCCATAGAGATCCCATCTCTACAGTCACATTCTGGGGTGCTGGCAGCCAGGACTTCAACACAGGAATCTGAGGCAGATCGAATATTCAGCCTCTGACAGCATCTTTTTACAACTGAGATACTTGCCACCAACTCACTCTGTGGTTTTGGAAATTACTAGATGGGTGTGGCTTCAGTGTTGAAAGTTTCTCAACTTGGCCAGAAGACAGACTGTTTTCTAAGCTGTAACACACATGGCCTCTCCACTCTTTGTTCTAGATCATGCTACATGTGTTCTTCTATGTGGAGCATTGAAAGCCACTAAGATTCATGAAGACACGCCCCCCTTGTACACTGCTGGTCACCTCTCATCTTCTTCAAGGTCACAGACAGATTTTGGGGTGTGATTTTGTCATGTAGTGAATCCAAAGACTCCTGGAACCATTGCAAAAAGGCTGAAGTTGAGTTGGAGGTGGGCTGATGGTCGACGGATGTCACAGCACCCGAGCAGAACAGCACGGCTACAAGCTCAGAGATGTCCCCTCTGGTCTTCCACACCTGGGATGGCTGTGATCATTTTGTGGAAACCGTGTCCCTTTCTGCATCAGGTGTGGGAAGGCGGTCCCCTCCCAGCCTGCATGATGTGTGCAACCCCAGCTCCGGATTGTCTGACTTGTCCCGTTTATTCTCTTTGACCTGATGTCCTCACAGTCTTTTCCTTAAATTTGAGATGGGGTGAATCTATATTTTGAAAAAGTAATGAATATATAGGGCTCAAATATTGACAAATCATGGACCGCAGAGAGCAGTCTCCTTTCCAATTTCTCTTCCACTCCTGGACGCCGCCCCCCGCCTCCCCTGGGCACACTTTTGGAAGTTTCTAGAGATGCTCCTTTCCGGGGAACTTTCAGGGACAGGCATGCATATAAATACACATCACACACATACACGTATAGTCGATTGTGTTCCACTTCCCCCTTCCCCCCAACAGTCCTGTGCTCGCCATGGCGTTCTGTAACCTGTCTTGGATTTTTTCATATCAGCACATAAATTACTTCCTCGTGACCGTTTTTAAACACGGGTGAGTACCCCATTGTATGGATGTATCCTAACTTATTTCCCTAATACATTATTTCATAATTTCTCGGTCTCTTTTACAGAACTTTTAGGTCACGGTGGGAAGCGTGCACACCCTTCCCCGGCCGTCCAACCGATCCCTAAGCTGCCTGCTGCAGAGCATGTCCTTAAAGTCCCAGCCGGCGATCACGTTAATCCCAAGGTTATTGCCTGTGGCCTGACTTACCCAGTTGGAAGGTCCTTAAAACAGGCTTAGGGCTTCCCTGACCTCAGAGTTTCCAAGTAGCTGGTGTGTCTGCATCTGCTCTCCCGTCTGCCTGGGGAGTCCCTTCCGACTGTCACGCGGAGACAAGCTCTTCTACCATCATGGTTTCCACCCATTGGGTCCCCTCCCTCCCTCCCTGCTTGTCCCCGCTGTCACACACGGCAATTCCTTGTAATAAATCCTTGAGTGGATGCATATACACGTGGTGTGTAACATACACATGTATCACCATATAAGTAACATGACATGAATGGAAACTATTGTATTACTAAGAAATCATTTTTGTATATTAACTATAAAATAGTATATATTTTAGAGATGTATTCATATTATACATGTATCTATATGTATAAAATATGTACAATAATATATATAAATTTGTACATATATATATATATATAAATTACTATTCTGCTGTTCTGCTTCTCTGGGTAAACCTTAACTGGCCCTGAGTCTGGTATTGGGTGTGGGGTGTTGCTGGGATCCCTAAAACATGGGAGCCATTCTGGGACTGAGCAGTGGGTGGAGGTGGGGAGAATTTTGAGACACTCGATACAGGAACTGGCTCGGACCGACTGTTCGAAGTAACGTGGGTGCTGGGGAGAATATATTACAGGGAGTCAGAGGAAGGGGGACCTTACCATATAGTGGGGAAAACTTTAGTGAGTTTGTGGGTGGAAAGCAGAACCTTTCAGCAGTGAGGTTGGTCCTGTGGCTAGGAATGTTTCCAAGCACAGCACTAAAGTCATAACCTGTTTTCCTCTTATTGCTCATAGTAACACATGTGAGAAAATTGAACAAAAGGAACCAGGACCTGGCGATTCTGAGCAAACTCAGCTTCTCTAGACGACGCTAAAAAGCTCGAGTGAAGCGATTTTCCAGCTGAACTCGAAGAAGCGAGCCACCAGGAGCCCTGCGGCTTCTAGGAAACGAGTTCTGCCAACACCACATGAACTTGGGAGAGGGCCCTGAGCTTAGATGAGACCCCAGCCCTGGCCCAGACCTGACTGCAGCCTTGTGAGACCCAGAGCTAAGCCATGCCCAGACTCCTGATGCATGAAAACGAGGAGAAAACGAATGTGCGTTGCTTTAGCTGGGAAGTGCACGGTCATCTGCCCTAGACCAACGGAAGACCAGCCACGTATTTTAGTACTTTACAGCTGACACATCGAGCAGAATGATAAATAAAGCCAAGCTTAGGATCTCTGTGATCTCTTATGTCCATAATAAGGAGGTGACTTTTATAGTCGTTTTGGGATTATGATCTCAGAAGCCAAATAGAGTAATTCATGTTTTCCGAACACGATCCGCAGAAAACCGTGAATCGGCCAAAATAGTAACTGTTTACCTGCAGGGATAATGTTGCCAGCTTGGAGAAGGCAATTTTTACCAGAGATGGAATGGTCCAGAAGCATACACATATGGCAGCCCGTGTTTTGGGAGGGACAGTCTCAGACACTACCTCAGAGAGAGACGTCGGGGCGGCCGCCACAGGTAGCACTCACCTGTGCTTAACCCAGGTGTCAGACTCGCTGGCTGGCTCTGTGTAGTTCTCAGGCAGGAAGCCCTGGCAGCCCGTCCGCTGGGAGATCCCAATCACCCAGCCCTCGCTGGCTTCCTCCTGCTGAGTGGGGTCCACGAAGATGTAGTCGCCGGGGCTTAGTGTCAGCTCGTCCACGTTCTGAGGTTTGTACTGGAAGAGGGCCCTGAGGGTCTGGAAAAGACCAAGTGTTTTCCCGTCTCAGCCAAGAACTTGAAGGCACACCAAGGCTTTCGATGACAGATAAAACTTACACTAAAAGGTGGCACAGAATTCTTGGGTAGGTTCGGACATGCATTCTGGTGTCTGTCTGTCTATCATCTATCTGTCTCATATCACTATCTACTGATCTCTAATATGAAAGAGCTCAGAGCATAATTCGACTTTCACATCTACCTTCCTCGGCAGGATTACTTGTAGCTTCTCACCCCACAGAGAACGTGCTGGGTTCATTCACGCTAATTCCCTGGGTCTGAAACGGAGCACTGCCTCCTTTCCATGTCAGCCACTCAACTTGGGGTCTTGCAATGATATAAAAGAATGCGAGTTCCACATTGCACAAAAGGGGACATGATTAAGAAAAAAAAAGGAAGACAAAAACAATAGACGGTTTTCCTTTTCCTGAAATACCTCCAGAGGAGGACTCTCGGGGGTCAGTGCTCCGCCGGCTTCACCGGCCACTTGTTCCACGGAGGATCCAGCCCGAGAGGACTGCCCGACCGGGGCTGCTCTGGCCGAGGCCCCCAGGCCGGGGTTTGCTCACCTGGTAGTGTACAAAGCGCATATCTCGGGAGTAGAGCGCGGCGGTCCACTGGCAGCTGTGACCCGGGTGGATGGCTCTGGCCAGCTCCTCCAGCGTCCTCTGGTGGTGGGGGTAGAACTTGTGGGCCAAGGTCAGATGCAGCTGCTTGGTGCAAGGCTTCACAGTGCAGTCTGGGAGATCGTGTAAACACAAGGGTGGTGGGCGCTTTAACCCACACCGCGGGCACTGCCTTCCCACGGTGGCCACGCACCCACGAGGGCCATGCACCCAGGATGCTGGTGCAAAGCCTTTCCGCATGATGCCTCCTGCCTCTGCCCACTCCCTCCCCCAGGCACTGGGGCTTTCTTGGTAAGGCAAGGACCACCCCCAACCCCCCCATGTGCCATCCGCTGAGTTCAGCTTACGGAGGGCATGGTTGGGTACTGCAGATCTGACAAGCGGCAGGGAAGGGGTAGAGATATGGGTTGGGGGGTGTTTGGAGCCTGGGGATTTGCCGGCTCGGTGCCCAAACAGTTGACCAAAGCAGACACAGTGAACAGCGTCTCCTTCGTTCCCCGTGATGGGCACGTTACGCAGCAGCCAGGTCCGACAGGCTGGTGCTGTAGCTCAGTGGGGTTTGGTTCGGCTGCGGAATCTCAGGAAGAAAACATCACAGGCAACTCAGCTATGTCGAACATGGCAGGATCGCTACGATTTCCGTCCCTTTGGTGAAGCAGGAAGCCCTCGGAGTAGCCAGCCCCGGGTCATTCTGGGGGCCCCAGCTCCTCCCCGCTGCCCGAGGGCCCTGCTGTTGCCCAGGATCTGCTTTCTGCCGTGCCACAAAGGACTGTACGTTCCCGCGAGGCAGAGACCAACGGAGCACGCAGACTTGGCATCAGGTAGACTGATGGTGGGTGACCCTGGGAGCATCCTGGCCTGACTCAGCTTTCGTTGACAGCAACAGTTGGGGACAGGGGCCACCACCGGCTGGGGCTGCCCTGAAACCTGCTCTTCATTCCCGTCTCTGGGAGTCTTTTAGTAAATACTGGTCCCCTGGCGCCCCTCCCCTGGGCAACCCACAGCAGCAGACAGGCTCTGATCTCCCCTGGAAAATGTCACCGCTGGTGCCGTCGCTTCCTGGACCCAGACCGGTGACCCCGCCGATGCCTCCCACCCCTACATGAGCCTTTAGCGGCAAACGAGAAACTGTTGGGGAGAAAAGCCAAGACTGAGGTCGTGGGTGGGTGGTAGGGAAATTCCTTCCTGAGGTGTTTCAGCACTGGGGGGAGGATGACCTTGCCACGTGAGTCGGCGTGGCCTGGGAAAGACCCAGGCTTGTCCTCCGAGTGATCGGTGAATCACGCACGACTTCTGAATGGGGCCTTGTCTGGTCTGCTCTCTGCAGGCCCTGCCTGTGGGGGCATTTCACTGGCGACGGCGCGGTGGCGGGGGAGGACACACTTGCCTTAGAGGGAGGCAGGACACGCTGGAGGTGATGGCTGCTCCCCACCCCGCGGGGTCCAGCCCAGGGCACAGGTGTGGAGAGCCTGGGCAAGAGACGGGGCCATGCAGCCACTCCGTGGGAGCTCAGGTTGGGTCAGCCGGAACCCAGGTGGGCCGAGCGAGACAGGGCTGGACCCACGTTCCAGCTCTGACCCCTGCTTAGGGGACACGGTCCCCTGGGCCTGTTTTCACAAATGGCCTCGGGCTGCGGGGTTTGAACCAACAGAAACATGCTCTTTCACAGCCTGGAGTCCAGAAGTCTGAAACCCAGGGGTGGGCAGCCCTGCCCTCCCTCTGAAGGCTCTGGGCAGGGTCCCTCTGCCGCGTCGCGTTCCCAGGGCTCCTGGCACTCCTTGGCTTGTGGCTGTGTCCCCACATCTCTGCCTTCCTCGCCCACGGCCTCCTCCCACGTCTCTGGGTATCCTGTCCTCTCTTAGAGGGACACCGGTCACTGAAGCGGGGGGGCCTACCTGAGTCCAGTCTGGCCTCTTCTTAACTAATTGCATCTGCAGAGACCCCATTGCCCAATAAAGTCCTTCTCTACGGTTCTGGGGGGATGGGAACTTTAGGGTCCCTTTCACTCCATGACAGTGACTTTGGGCAGGCTACTCTTCACAGGCCTCTGTGTCTTCACTTTTAAAACAGGGCCCATGAGACCTGTTGGGGGGGGTGCGAGGCATCAAGAGAGGTGGCGTGCCCGCTCTGTGGCCAGGGGCCGACAGGACACGAGGAGACCACGTTGTCCTTTGGGAGCAAGGAGATTAAAGAGCCACCGCTCGACTCCTGTTCGTATAAAGGTCACCGATCTGCAAAGACACACGGTAAGCCAATTATCACCCAGGAAGTAGGACCCCAGAGGCCAGAGGCCAGCCTCCAAGCGGAAAGCTGGGGTTCAGTGACCTCCCGATGTGGCCAGATCCGTGACCAGGTGCATCTGAGAACGGGGCCGCTGGACGCTTGCAGAGGGCAGTGTGGGGTCTCCCTGCCAGGGTCCTTGGAGTCACAGCCCTGAGTGCCTTCCCCATGCCAGGACCGATGGGGAAGGGCCACAGAAACGGGCTTGTTGCTGGAAGGGTCAGAGCCCTCACCAATTTGCAGGGAAACAAGAACAAGCCATGGAGCTGATGAAGCTCGATGAAGGCCCAGCGCCGACCAGAGACCCGGGACGAAGTCCAGAGTCCCTCCCACCGACCCCAGCTGGAGCCCATCTCCAGATCAGCGCAGGTGCTGGGGGGAAGGGAGATTTGCAGACGCTCAGAGGGAGTCCAGACAGTCCTTCCCCGAGAGGCCAACAAGAGAAGGGTATGCTCCTTCCTAAAACAGCAACAAAACCCAGCTAGGACTTGGTTTTAGACACAGCGCTGACCCCAGGAGGGGATCTGCCCAAAGTGGGCCTACAGCTGGGTAGCCCCCTCCCCCAACATGGGCACCAGCCTGTAACCCACGGCCTTCATGCGGCCATGCAACGTCCCCTCCTGGGACCGTTTCCCCGGGCAGCTGGAACGCGCCAAGTGCTCAGAGAAACCACATCGATGCAAACAAAGGTATTCCCACCTAGAGAAAAAAGGGACCGCGGGTCCTCAGGGTCTGCTCTCTAAAGTAAGTAAGGAGCAGCCTGCACCCCGCTCTGCGCGGCCGATCCACCGTACCCCAGGAGCAAGCGCGGCCCCAGACACAGAGCGGTCAGTCCCTATTATCCGCGCCCTTCGTGGGCAACTGGCTAGGACCGCCTACCTGCTAAGACAGAGGCTTCCGTGGCGAACGTCAGGGCGAGTTCCCGGATGACGTCTGCGGGGCTGTCGTTCACGAAGAAGCCCAGATAGCTGACGGAAGAGTGCAGGACCAGAGGGACCACCGAGGGGAAGGAACCCAGGATCCTGTCCCCAGCTCTCTTCAGAGCCTCATACAGACACTCGACCTTGTGGTCTTCGCACTGAGGGAGAGGAGACAGAGGGTGTGTTTTCTCGCCTCTTGTTAGAAGGTCAACTATGAACTTGGTTAAGAAAAATCGTGCAGCCAACCAAGCCTGTTTCTGGGGGCGATGCTGGACTCAGTTCTCTCATCACGTTACGGACTGGGGTTATGGATTTGTTCTATTACCTGGCCCTCAGTTTCTTAGAGATCGCAGGTAAAATTCCTTTCGGAATGGAGTATCTTTTAAGTGTCTGGGTTGGAAGTCCCTTGTCACCATAGCTACCTCCCGTTCCTCCATGTAATGTCAACTCAACCCCCAGCTGTGGTCAGCGCTGCATCATTCAGCTTCTGGAGGTTTCCCATAGACTCTGAGGCAGCCGTACTCATGCACTGCCCAGAGCTCACAGTGCGGAGGACGGTGGCCAAAGTCCCTGGCGTGTGGCCACAGTCCCACCGTGACAAAGCCAGTCACTGCCCCTGATGTAGTTTCCTTGGAAGTGGTCCGAGCTCCCAGGCTCCCTGTCGGCCCGCTGTCCTTCTTGGAGCCGCCCAGTCCCCCTCCCTTCTCCTGCCTGTCCCTTTCTTCTTTGCCATTCACAGGTGTTTCTCCCAAATAAACCTCTTGCACTTCTAATTCCACCTTGGGGTCTGCTTCTTGGGGGGCCGTGACTAACATGGGCTCCGACCCAGTCTCCCCACTGCCCCCCAGTTCCCTGCACGCACTTCTGCCTGACCATGTTACCTAATGCCGTGCCACCCTCCGCCCCGAGGCAGCAGGCGCTCCCCTGTTGCCTGCAGAGGGCTATCTACACTGCTCAGCCTGCCTGCAGGGCCGTGGACACAGTTGGTGCCCTCGGTGCGCTTCCCCACTCACACCCTCTCGCCCTCCTGGTTCCGGGGCTCAGCGCTGCCCAAGCCACTTCCTGGGCTTGAAGACCTTCCTCCGTGGGGAAGAGCCACACGGTCACATGGGACCACAGTGAAACCACGGTGAAACCCAGACCCTTCCCCTGCCTGCCCCCCTGCCCCTCCCCACAGGAAATCAGCCTGAGCTCTGCTCTTCCCAGCAGCGGGCTCCCTCCGAATTTCTCACAGCCCCTTTCCTCCTCCGAGGACCCAACCGCATTATGGTTTCAAGATGCATTATATGCATTAATATGCATAGAGTGTAATATGCATTTTTATGTCCCCTTCTGACTAGCAGCTCACTCTGTTCGTCTGTCTGTCGCATCTTTGAGGCCCTTGCAGGCCCTGGGAAAGTGCGTGACACCCGGGAGGCGTAACTGTGAATAAGTCACTGTCCGTCCACCTTGCGTCTCTGGGTCTCCGGTAAGTGGTCTGGAAGCCCAGAGTTGGTACAAGCAGAGCTGCGGCGGGACATCAGCCAGTGAGGCTGAACATTGTCCTTTTACGGCACCGGAGGGAGACACTCAGTCCCTCTGCCGCTCTTCTGCCAGAAAGGGGGCTTGGCCAGCCCAGGCTGGGGGTCAGCGGGGCGGCTGACACAGGAGAAGGAAGGGGCATGCGTGTGTATCTAAGTCTGTGTCTGTGTGTGTCACGTAGTATGTGTGTCTCTGAGTGTCTGTGTGGATATGTGCGTGTTGGGCACGCGGCCCCGGGGGTTGGGAAGACCCCTGGCTGCCGTGATGAAGCGCGCCCGTTTCTAAGGTTACTTTCATCACCGGCTGGGCTGCCTCCCTTTCCCTGACGAGCTACCCAGGACATGCCAGGAAGGACTCTGACCGTCACAAACGCTGTCACTGGCAAAGGAGGGAGATCAGTTCACGCCGGTTTGCCCAAGACTTTCCTGGTTTTAGCTCCAGAAGTTCTGTGCCTTGGGACCCCCTCCCTGCAGCCCCTGGCAGATGGGGATGGCGCACAGGCTCCCGGGGCACCTGCTGGGAAGGTCTCCTGCAGAGGCTTGTGGCCCCCTTCCCATGCACGCTGTGGAGTTGGGGACGGGGCACTCTTCAGGTCCTGGTGGGACCCCTGAAATGGGTGGAGCTGCCTGACAGCAGAGGGGGGCCGGCCACGGAGTGTCCCCACGTTCCTCCGGTGGGGAGCTGCAGAGGAAGTGGCTGCCTGTCCCTCCCTGCCTCCCTCCATCTCCCGCCTGCTTCTTCTCTTCTGAGCGGGCCCCGGTCCTCCTCACATTCCCTGGACCCTGTGAGGCTGCCTGTTTGACTGACTTCTCGACCAGGGCTGGTCCCTGAAGCAGGGAAGAGTCCCGTGTTTGTGACCTTTGGGACGGGCCAGCAGCACTATTCTTCAGGTCATTATCACACATCTCCGAAACACCTGCTCTGAGGCACTGTGCTAGGCTCGGGGTACAAAGAGGAGGGAGGCATCTACCTTCTCTTGAGGGATTCAGTCTCATATGGGGTGCAGGGTAGCACCAGACACATTGTCACAGCACGTGGACAGTGCCACTAGAGACACAAACAACACGATGGTGGGTTCACAGAGGGTGGTGGCCCCTTCTGCCTGGGGAGCAGGACAAGACTCAACAGAGGGAGGGGCTAAGTGAGCGGGACTTTGAGGAATGCGTAGGAGTTGCCCAGATGAGAAGAGTGGAGGGTGTCCCACACGAAGGGGCCAGTAAGTGTGACAGCTGCGGGCCACCCCGTGGAAACAGATCATGGGGCTGCCCTCAGTGACTTCCAGCAGCACCTAGATGTCACAGGGAGCTGCCCCCAGCGGCGTGTTAAGGGGCATTGAAGGCATGTGGGGCCGACTCACCGTGAAGAAGTCACAGAGCGTTATGTGAGGGAAGACCTCGTGGGCTCGGTTCTTCGTGCACTGACGCTTGCTCTCCCTCCAGAACTCCTGCAGCTTTTCCAGCAGGGATCCCGTGGGGCAGAGGAAGAGGGCGTACTCCTGGGGGATGGGGTCGTCCAGAGATGGGTCGTTGCGATGACAACGTAGCCTGCAAGAGAGCAAGGAGCTCACGCCCGCTGCCGTGACGGCGGGACGATCGCCCCACGTGGGGAGCGCGGCCACTCAGTGCCAGCCACGTCCACGCTGCACAAAGTCACCGCCAGCCCCTCTCGGCGAGGCTCAGGGCGCCCAGGGCTGGTGTGGCCGCAGAGTGGCACCAGGTCCCCTCACCCCTGGCTCTGCCCCACGTTGGTCTGATTCCTGGCCAAAGACCAAGACTGAGAGAAGTTGGCCTGGTCTTCAGTTCTGGGGGCCAGGAAACTTGTAGAAAACATTCACATTTCATTCCATCTGACTTCAAATTGAGTATAAAAGTCAAAACCACCAAACCCCCCACCAGAACACAACTAGACAAAATGTAGGTGGCTATTCTATACTTTCTTTGAATTCGGAAGGTTATTTTAAGGACAAGGAGAAATGATATACAACCCCAAATTCAAGTTCATTCTCACCGATAACAGAAACAAGAATTAAGACAACCACAAGGCGCTGCTTCCTCATCTGTCAAATTAACACATTTTTGTAGGGAAGAAGGTTCTGCTCCCCGTGTCAAAGGGGCAGTGGCTCTGTGGAACGTCTGTAAAAATCAGACTGTCAGGCCGCCCCAAGAGCCTTCAAAGGCCCATCCCATTTGAGCTGACAATTCTACTTCCAGAAACTTCTCTGAAGGGGAAAGAAACTCACACCGCCCGGGCGAGGTATTTTATGTTGGGGTTATTCATCGGGAGTCACGGTTTTAAAGAATTTCTCGTGATGCAGAGAAAGGCCCGAGACGCAATATTGAGTTCAGTGGGCGGGACGTGGCCCCTGTGGAAACAGGCGCCAGGCACCCATGGGGTCTCCTTAGGAGCAAAACACCAACGGGGACGCTCCGCCCCCCTGTCCTGCGCAGATGCCTCCTTCACTGTTCACTTTTCCTTCCAGAAACTTAAGTAACCAACATGCAGACAACATGCGCGTGTGTTTTTTGTAATCATAAGTGACGGTTTAAATTATTCTGCGGGTCGCGTTGTTTTTAGTCCACACCGTGTTATTGTGATTTATCCCCGTCCGTGGGCAGGCGCAGGGTTGGGCGTGTCAGTACGACCCTTCCGAGGCCCGTGCACACTCGTCACGCCGGTGGTGTTTCCCTCTTCCGTTCCACTCCTGGACGCCTCCGCTGGCTTCTCGGTGAACAGTTTCATTTCACAGGAATCAAGATCTTTGTTCATGTTTCTTGGGCCCTTTCTATGTTTCCAAGGCATGGACGTGGACACGGATGTGAGCCTGGACACGGACATGGACGTGGAAGTCCATGGTGGGCAGCAACGTTGGTGCACCCCGAGCCCGCAGCCGCACAAGGAGAGACCCCCCTTCTGCTCACCCATGCGGACCCTTGAAGCTGCCTTTCATTTTTAATGGTATCTGAAACGGCACTTCCCGGGTCAGCTAAGGTCGGCCCACGCCAGTAGAGCCTAGGGGACCCCACTGTCTCCCCAAGTCTCAGTGGGACTTGCGGTCCTCTTGGCTGAGTTGCAAGTTGCCGGAAGTCACCATGGCCCTTGAGGCAGTCAGTTTCGTTTGAAATTCAAATGTAACACCCGACTTTAGAGTTAGCCTAGCCCAGAGGACCCTGGGTGCTTCCCTTTGTCTGGCAAAGGGGTTACATCATTTGCCCTTGGTGTAGAATCTTGGGGGGACAAGGGGGTCTCCCGGTGAGGACATACTGGCCACTCAGAGACCCACTGTCGGCATTTGCCGTCCTGCTCTGGGAGGGCACCCAGCTAGCAGAGACCTGTTATTTACTGCTTGATTTTTACTGAGATTTTCCAGAACAGAGCGTGAGGGGACTTCCCGCCTTGGGGCCGAATGAGAGCATCGTGGCACATTCAGAGGAGGCTGGGTGCTAGAGAACAGGGCACCTGTTCTCCCAGAGCAGAAAGCCGAGGCCTGAAGCAGTGGGTGGCTTTCCGAGTGCGTAACTGGTTGACGGCAGAGCCCCCTGGAACCCCGAGTTCCTCCCCCAGGCCCCACTCCCTGGCCCCTGATGCCTCAGGGGGCATCCAGGACCAGCAGCAAACTCTCTCCCCATCAGAGGTGGCCTGAGAGAGTGGGGACCTCTATTTTGTATCTTCCCTATTTACTCAACAGATTACGTGGACGTCTTTCTTTTTTGATCGTCACATTTGGGTAAACTCGAATTTTAAGGTGAAGAAAGGCTTGTTCAAATTTCAATCTCTCTCCACTGTTTGCCATTTTAAACGCTGATTCTTTTCTCCTTTTCTCTGGCTCTGGGTGGATAAGCAGGGACTCCGTCCCTGGCCACCTGGCATGTGTGGGGCACTTCCCCGTGTCCACCCTACAGAGCTTTCAAAGCCAAGTACTCCGCGGGTCTGCAGAGACAGCCCTACTCACCAATCACATGCCTCCTCCGCTGTCTTTCTTCCCGTAGCTGCCAACGCCTTCAGCCTGCAGGAGATGAGAGGAGCATTCAGAGATCTGCCTTCCATTCTTTGGGAAAGCAGGGGAGAGGCAGGGGAGGCCCTGCAGCACAGGGGACCTTTGGGGTGGCCCCGCAGCACAGGGGACCTTTGGGGTGGCCCCCATGAGGGCCCGGACGGCTGGACTTTGCAGCTGGATGCCCTGCCCGGGCCTCTGTCTCCGTGTGGCATCACTGTGGTTTCTGAAAATGCACACCTGCTCATTCCTCCTCACTCAGGCGCTCCCGCCTTCGGTTCTGGGCACCACTGCCAACCTTGCTGGCAATCCTGCCTCCTTGGCCAGCCCCTGCACCCCACCCCGAAGCCAGGTGAACCCACTCTCGGGTCCAGAAGGTGGCCGTGCGGGGCTGCATCCCCGGCTTGCACACGTACCTCCTTGACAAAAGGCAGCCATGTGCCAACACACCCCTAGAGAAATGGCACGGATCCTCCCAAGCTGGCTCAGACGTCCTTCCTCCGGGATAACTTCCCCAAACCTGCCAGGGAGGTGGACGGGGCAGCCCATCCTGTTTCCCCACTGCACGTCCGGGCCCCGTGGTTCAACTCTACAGACCTGTGTCTGTTTGTCCCTCCACCAGCCCGCACGGTCCCCGAGGCCCAGCAGAGCTGTGCCCATCACGGTTACCCAGGACGTACACGTGCTGAATTAAGTTTAGCTGAATGGGACCAATTGGACAGAACGGACGCCGGCTCACTAAGGCAGCTCACTCGGGAACAGAGCCGGGAAGTCTCTGGAGTCAATGAGCAAAGCAACATGGCAAGGCCCCATGCTGCTGCTGGTGGACACGGACGGCGATGACTTTGGTTTCAGTTCGAGGGATTCTGAGTCTGCCTCCAGCTACAGTAGCATAGTAAAGCACGGGCTTTAGAGGGGCTGAGAGTGGGGTCCTGCCTCCCCCCACTGCCTGTGCTCTTGGGTCTCCATGTCCCCGGCTGAACCCGAGGGAAGATGCCCAGGCTGGGGCTGGCGCATGGTTCCACGGCTTATGTCAAAGATCCCTGGTTTATCATTAGCATAAAGGCAACAAAGTTCTGATTTAGGTTAGAAAAGCAAGGAGTGTAGCTCCCAAGTGATTTTGGCCAATTTGCTCAGGCTTTGTTTTAATGTTTAAGGAGCCTTTGGTCCCCTCCCCAATCCAAAGTTACTTACAGGTACTTTTTTTTTTTTTTTTTTTTTAGTTTTTTAAATTTTTTTTTGAGAATTTATTTATTCCTTTGACAGAGAGACAGAGAGAGCAGAAATAGGGGGAGTGGCAGAGAGAGAGGGAGAAGTAGGCCCCCCGCGGGGCAAGGAGCCCAGTCCCAGGACCCCAGGATCATAACCTGAGCTGAAGACTAGACGCTTAGTCTAGTGCCCCTTAACGGGTCTTCTGATGCATTTCCCCATGTGAATAAGCCTGTAAAAACTTAGTACCCCAGGCCCTTATCATAGCTCATTGCTTTTAGGCACTTCTCTATCTGACAGGGTGGCTCTTAAGGTTAAAATGTTCCATGTGGGGACCTTCTCCTTGGGTAAGCAGCATCGAGTCAATGCTGTTTCTTCACTTTCTAACCATCTCTTTCACTGATCAGAGACATTGAAGAGATTTTTCCCTGTAGATGAAGGTTGCCCTGCACCGTTTAGCAATATGTCCTTGTTGGGGGTTCTCTCAACAGCCCCCTTCAATGGGGAGTCAGAAACACTTGTAGTGTCATCTCAGAGAGGGCACAACTAGGCCCACACTCCTCCAAACCCGGAAAAATGGAGGTGCCCCAGTAATACATGACTCCTAATTTTTTTATATTTCAGGGTCCTTCGACATGCCAGCCAGCAGAGCTTGTCTGTAAAGGTCCAGATCATGTCGTTTAGAAGAAGCAGAAAAGGGCCCTATTTCGAGACAGTATCTTGCCCTGCAAGGTGCACTCTTTGGGCAGGAAGCAAGCACCCTGAGCTCCCTGCAGTTGTGTGACAAAGGCCAGAAGGGTTGGGGGCCTAGGACACACCCCCTGGGGCCTGCGGCCCCGGGACAGTACTCACGCTGTGTGTGCCGGGAAGCCCATTCCCAGGAGGGGGTCCAGGAGTGAGGTGGTGCCGCGGCCCTTGTGCTTGTTGGAGACCTTGGCGTAGAGCTGAGTCTCCGCAGCTGCCATCTCTTCCTGCCTGCGGACAGAAATGAATAGATAAAGCCAGAGAGAGTGAGACAGGCAAGGCTTCCTGAGAGTGTGAAGAAAAACCTCAAGCCCTTTTGATCTTTCTGACAATAGCTAATATCCTGTTTGCATGAGATGTTGGTTTTTCAGAATTCTCTTTGCAGGGTGCTGGGGTATGGCATCCCCCAGCCCCGTTCCCACATGGGGTTTGCATTTCAGAGCTCCAACACGCTTACCAGAAGAGCAAAAGTTGGAGAGATCGACAAGACTACATTTTGACAAGGCCGTGGAATGCTTGGAGCTCTTAGGCATTGTCCCAGCATTTTGGAAAACGTTTGGACAGTTCCTCATACAGTTCCACATACATTTGCTCCGTGACAAACCTACAAATTTAGCTATCTACCAAGGGGAGGTGAAAAGGTGGGACCACATGAAGACTTTATGTGAATGGCCACGATGGCCCACACTACTACTTATTCACAGTAGACCCAAACTAGAAGGAATCCAGAAATCCACCCACTGCTGAATGCCTACGTAAGTTATGGCATCTTTGGTCCACGAGTAACCCTTGTCAATAGCAACAAAATGCTTCTGTCTCGTGAGAGAACACGATGAATTCCAAACAACATTGTTTTGATTTAAAGAAGCCAGATTCAAGATCATATATACCGTATGATTCTACTTAAATGAAACTCTAAAACCAGGTAAAACTGAACTACAGGGACAGGAAACAGGTAAGTGGTTGCCCAAGGCGAGGGTCTGAGGGAGTTTTGGGGGTGATGGAAATGTCCTCTATCCTGATAAGGATGTGTAGGTCTTCAAGACCGACTGGACCAAACCCTCAGATTGGGTGTGTAAATTAAACCTCAATAAAATTTATATTACAAAGGAAAGGGAAGGAATACTAAGAACAATAAAAACAGTATGCTGATTTTCAACAAAAATAGGCCTGCTGGGGTTTTGGGGGGATTATGTTGAATCTATAGGTCAGTTTTAACAATATTGATTCTTCCATTCCATGAATATGGTATATCTCTCTATTTACTTTCTCTTAGTAGTGTTTTGTGGCTTCAGGGTCTTGTACTTCTGTCACTAAGTTTATTCCTATGTGTTGCTATAGTTTAAAAAAATTCCTATTTCCATTTGTTGTCAGTATATAGAAATATTATTGATTCTCATATATTGACATCATAACCAACAATTTGGCCAAGATCACTTATTCATTCTAATATTTTGTAGATTCTTTTTGATTTTTTAGGTACTTAGTTATGTCATCTTCAAAGAATGCCAGTTTCCCCCTTCCTTTTTAATATTTATAAACTTTTTTTCCTCTCCATGCCATATCACTGTGGCAAAGACCTCTAGTGACATGCTGAATATAAGTTTAGGGTAAGTACCCCTTATTATATTAAATAATTTTTTTCACTCCTAATTCACTGAGATTTTAAAAAAAAAATTCATTAAAACAGGTACTGAATTTTATCAAAAGCTTTTTCTGCATCTGTTGAGATGATAATGTTGTTTTTCTTCTTTATTCAGTGAATGAGGTAGCTTATTCCAATTGAACTTGGAATGTTAAATCAACCTTGGTTTCTAAGATAAAGCTTTGATCATGTTATCCTTTGTAGATATTAACCACTTTGTTAATACTTCATTTAGAATTTTTGGCTTCTGTGCTTGTTAATTAGCATGGCCTGTTCTTTTCCATTCTTATAATTTCCTTGTCAGGTTTTGGTGGCAATAGAGTGATCAACTCATTCCGATAATCCGAAGAGTTCCTGGTCACAACACTGAAAGTTCCCATTCTAGGAAATCCCACCTCAATCCCTAGCAGATGAGGACAGTTGGTTGCCCTAAGTGTCAGTGTTATTCTGGCCTCATACATGAGTTGGGAAATATTTCCTCTTTCCTGATTCTCTGAGTTTTTGTAAGACAGGTGTAACTTCTTAAATGTTTGAAAAGATGTATCAGTAAAGTCACCTGGGCCTAGAATTTTTTTTTAGAAAGGTTTAAATTATGGGTTTAATTTATTTAATAGATAGAAGGATATTCTTCTTGCATTGGTTTCATTAAGTTGTTTTTCAAGGAACTTTATCATTTCATCTAAGTTGTTAAATTTCCTGGAATAGAGTTATCAGATTTTCTTTCAATTCTGTTGTGTAATTTTCTGTGTAGAGGTCTTGCAATATCAGTTAGATTATTCTGAAGTATTTGATCATTTTCAATGTCACGGTAAATTATTTTTTTTCAATTTCATACTCATACTCTTTGTTGCTGGTGATTCAAAATACTACTGATTTCACATTGTTTTAATTTAATTTACATCCAAATGTCTTGTTGGGCTTACTTATTAATTCCAGTAACTAATCTCTAGAATTTTAAAAATATTCTATGTACAAAAGGAGTTGTGTCAATGAATAATACACTTATTTCTTTCTTACCAGTACATATTCTTTACTTTTAAAATTTCTTTTTATTTCTCTTTTTCTTTTCTAGTTTTCTTTTTTCCCTTTTCTTATCTTCTTTTTTTCTCTTCCTCCTCTTCTTTATTCTTCCTTCTTTCTCCTTCTTCTTCCTCTTCCTTTTCCTCTTCTTCTTTTATTGCACAGGCTTGGATCCCAATTGTTGAATAGATATGGTATTTTTCTGTACAGGGCATCTCCCTGTGCTGTTCTGCATTTCAGAGGAAAATCTTTCAATATTTTATCTTTAAACATAAGTTAATTATGTTTTTGAATATCCTTCTTCTTTGAGGAATTAAAAAGATGAAATAATTTCATAATCAAATAGCTCAAATTTGAAAGCCTCAAAGTAGAAAAAGCCTGTGACCAGAAGGAAAAAAAAAGTAGATTTGGGGTCTGGAATATAGCCTCCACTCAAACATATTTTTCTTTTCTCAATAGTAAACCACTTTCTGAGCAATTGTCTTTATAACATAATAAAATACAAATTTCTCTCTCTTTTTTTAAAAAAAAATCTTATTTATGTAAGCCAGGAAATGACCAATCCAGCCTCATCCCTTTCCCTCAGCTTGAAAACTTATCTTCCAAGACGAGTAGTGGAAAGACAAAACCTTCTTGATGGACACTTCTTGGGGCTGACTCCTAAAGCCTCCTTCTCTCACCAATGGGATCCAGGTGGAGATTGAGGGGGGCCTGGGTGGCTCGGTTGGTTGAGCATCACCTTCAGCTCAGGTCATGATCCCAGGGTCCTGGGATGGAGCCCACCATCAGCCTCTTTCACTCCCTGCCCCTTACTCTGCTCATATTCTCTCTCCTCTCTCAAATTAAAAAAATAAAAAGGTGGAAACTGATACAATGCTTGGAACTCAAGCTGTGTGCCAATGGTTACGAAAACTTCACAGCTCCTAGAGGACCCCTCAAGGGGTCTCCTCCCCTTCTCGTACCTCCAAACCAAGACCACGCAAGACACCATCTTGGTGAATGCCAGTTCTAGGTACAATGATTTCTCTTTCCTTAAAGTTGTGTTTTGAGATTGATGAAATTAATTTGTAGGTGAGCTTTCTGAGAGCTACTACATGGTCATAGAAGTTCAGCCATCATCATGGGTCATCTCCCTGCTCTACCCTAGCAAACCGACCTCATTTGACACACATCCAAGATGTTAACCTGTCAATGTATTAATACAACATATGTGAATTCATGATTGCTTCTGGTTTTCTACCTGTCTACTCAGTATTGTTCCATCACCTTAGTTTATGATCAGCTCAACCGTACGCCTGGAGCCTCATCACACACTCATCCCTGTGCCAGGCACCATGAGTGTACATTCTAGACTGTCCTCTGAGAGTGGTATTCTGTTGGCACATTGCCTACAGCACTCCAGTGAAAACAGAGAAAGAATCAAGTTCTAAGTCTCCGATCCCTGTCTTCGAGGGCAAACGTTTGTTCAAGGACTGGAGAGAGTAGTTAGCGAAGATGTGAAGGGGTGTGTATGAGCTTGAAATATTCCTGGTCTTAAATCCAAAAACATTGAGATGTGTGTGCACAGGTGCTGAGAGGTGGGAAAACAAAACTGAGTCACACCACAACTGGCTGAATGTATCTCTCTGGCTATAGCTGCCATTGGCCAATCCTGCTCACTCTATCTTTAAAATCAACCCCCAAACCCGCTTTTGTTCTCCGTTTGCATCACCAGTCCTGGTCCACGTCACTGCCCTGGTGGCCCAGGTCTTCAGTAGTTTCCTGCTGGCTTCCTGTGAATTCACCTCTGTCCCTATGCTCCGTACACATGCATAGATCTGACCTTGCCCTGCTCAGATCTTTGGTGGATTTTCATCACACGGAAACCAAATCAGAGTTCTTCCAATGGTCCAGGCCTTCCATGACCTGCCGATCTCCAAGCACACAGGTTTTCTTGGGGTTCCTTGAAGACTCCCAGCTCATATTCTCCAGGCTTTTGGAGTTGATGGTCCTGGGCTTAAAACAGTCTCCCCTCCTAGCTCGCAAGACCTACTTTATCTCATCATTGAGGTCTCCACTGAAATACCACTTCTTCCTAGAAGTCTTCCCCAACCCCCTGTCTGATCACTCTCTAAGCCCCTCCCAGCCTCATCTCTTCCTAGCATCTGTCATCACCTGAGACCACAGGTGAAGGCTTTGTCCCCTCTGCCATCTGCTGTGAGTCTAGAAGGCTGGGCTCATGGCAGATGGCCCATTAATATTTGGTGAATCAATGAATGCATCTAGCTCTACTCCACTAGACTTCCAAAGGGGCTCAGTCCCCACAGCAGCGGGGCTATGCTCTCTCCTGATAGAACATTTTAAAGCTGTGTTGTGTGTGCAGAAATCCCTCAGGACGGAGAGGCCCCTTACAGAATGTGCGAAGCGTCTCTAGTCTCTATTGAGTGCTATGAGAACACCTTTGGGCTCCCTCTCCTTTGTCTGCAGAGCAGCTGCGAGTCTAAGCTTGGACTCATTCACACGGAGAACCCCCCCACCCCCACCCCGAGCCGACATTTTGCCTGCCTCTCTTGGTGTGTTGGCTCAGCACCGGGCAGGACCTATCCGTTCTTTTATAAAAGGAGCATCTGTGTTCCAAAGACTCTCTTATGTGAAGTTCCTGAAAAGGTTCGCTTACCTTGCTTACTAATTAAAGGCAAGTCACATTTTCTCCTCTCTGGTCTCTGCAGTCATCCCACCGACGGCCACCCGATAGCCTCATCCAGGTTGGGTTACACAGCTGCCTGCGATAATGCCATTTGCATTTGCGATGATTGAGCCGACAAGGCTGAGTGACTTGGGGAAGTATTTCCCGATTGGAAGAACCTGTTGGCAGCCTGCTTACCATCACGCTTGCTTTTATAATGAAAAAGGAAAATATTTCTGCTTTTAATGATGGTGGCCCCAGAAATGGTGAGTAAAGTGGGTCGGGGAGAGATCATGCTTCTGAGAGAGGGTTTCTCAACATTTCTGCGTGTTCTGAAACCGACCAAGGATGGCCCGTTTGGGAAGGGACTTCCGTGCCTAGGTTCAAGGTTTCAGAAAGCATTTTACCACTTGTTCTTACTCTGGTCATTAAGTTAGGCCGCGTCATTTGCCACATGCTGATGGTACGCGGCAAGTGTCAGCAAGGATCAGAAGCAAAAATGCCAGGTGTGTATTTACTAGTTTTCTAAGATTCTCTTCAGAGCCACTTTTGAGGTGGAGATGAAATAAATATTTTTAGTGCATAATCCTTGCTTCGATTTTCCTAAGACTGCCTGGAGCAGCGTGAAGACAGAGTTTGCCTTAAATGGCTTCGTAGTTTCCTGTTGGATCTCCAACATTACAGCCAGTAAACAGAAATTAAAAAGGGGTGATGTAAGGATCTATGTTTATGTGACTGTTGGAACCTCCTTTAAGGAAGCAGGTTCCCAGAGAACTCGTGGCTGACTGATGAACTGGGAAGGTGAGTTGGGATTTATTTGGGAACATTCCGCCATTTCCTCGCTCACTCTGCCCCTCTTAGAGCCGCAGGAATGACTTTCGGAGGCTTCTGACCTCTCTGGCTTTGCGATAGGTGGAATTCTCTTGGAGGAAACAAAGCCCCAGTGTAGCTGGTGCAAGCCAGAGGTGCCCAGCTGCTCCCCCCTTTGCCGTGTGGGGGACTGGGCACCCAGAGGGCATGGATACTTCCATTCTTAACTAGGTCATGCCTGCGCGAGCCAGGGAAGGGCTGTGTTTATGGGAAACTACAAATACTGTGGGTGACTGTCCCCTCCCTGGTGTCATCTACATTTTTTGGGCGTGGACACTGTGAGTATAAGAAACTTCTTATGGTTACAATAGGTTTCCCACAGGTACAGGCAAAGGGTTGAGTTTATGTGGGACAAAGAACAATGACAAAAAAAAAAAAAGAAGGAAAGTGCTTTGAAAGTGATTTATCTTCTGAAAAATAATGGTACAGTAATTTCCAAATCGTAAGAGGGTGTATCTCTGAAGATGGCTAGTCCTTTGATTTTAAGATCGGTAGAATACACAGTGAGAAAGTCATTATTTTAGCAGAATTAAGTTCATAGTTCTGCGTTAACTGGAAGTTTCTCTGTGACCTGTTGTGGCCCATGAAAAGAACTTGTTCTTCCTGGACAAAGAGTTTTGATCTATCGGTACCGAATGTGCTTTATGGGGATCGTTGGATTTCAAAGATTTAATGTGACAAAGATGCGCTTGACGCTAAAAATGTCAACAGGGGAGCAAACGCTGTCTGTTCTTCTTGGTGAAGGAGGTGGAGGTAGAGCCAGATCTCAGAGGTCCTGAGGTAGTCACCATGGGGGAAAATGACCCACCCGCGGCGGAGGCCCCCTTCTCCTTCAGATCACTTTTCGGACTTGAGGATTTGAAAATAAGTCCTGTTGTACCAGGTAGGTGGAACCTGGTGTGACTTTTGGGGAAGTGTCCCGAGTGTTCTTCCTCCAAGTGACACCGATTGCTTGCATTTCCTTGGGTTTATGGAGCCCTGGAGAGGGGGGAGCATTAGATGGGGGCATCCCCTTGGTCAGCCCCTTGCCAACTCCCGGAGACAGAAGTTTGCATTCTCTGGATGGAGGTTTTCAGAAATGCAGGCTCCTGTTGCCCCTGGGAGAGAGGGGTCAGGTCCCGCTGGAAAATCTCTGAGCCCCCCAGGGAGTCCTAAGAACCATCAGCTCTTCCAGAAAACTTAAAGTAAGCCCGGCATTGCCGAAGGTGTTTGATGCCTAGATTAAAATCCAGCCGCAGAAGACAAGAGCTGCTCTGAGCAACAGGGAGAGTTGGTTTTACAAATCGGTCTCAAATGCGGGACTTGTCCCAGTGAGCCGGTAAGCTGTGGCTCGCTGGTCCCAGGTACAGTCAGGAATGCTGACCTCGGGGGCTGAGAAGGGGGACATCTGGGGGGCTCTGGCTGAGGTTCCAGAAAGCATGGAGTGGGGGCTGCCCTAGTGATTCCTTTTAGACCCTCTGGGCAATGGAGGTTGGGGGTGGCAGAGAAGATGGGAGGTGGGAGGACAGGGTTTTAAGTAAGGGTAAGGACACACTATTTAAAAATACAGCTCAAAAAGTGAGTATAAATGTAAATTTAAAAATACCCTGCTATCATCTGACCTCCAAGATTTACCTGGTTTTTATGTTTGCCTTCATTCTCTTCCTGTCCTTGCCCATAAGTATGCATTCTTGCGTATGAATAGGAACCCCAAAAATGACCTCGTGTCATTAGGTATATCATGATGGATAGGTATAGAAGGCGTTTTCCCATGTGCTACTTGGTTTTTGTAAATGCCTTTTGTTTATAACATCACAACATTCGATCAAGTAGATGTGTAATTCACGTAATTTAAAAGTCATCATTTGACATATAATTGTTCCCAATATTTTTATAGTACAAATAATACAAGCATGAATAACACTTTATGTATTCACTTCTGATTTCTCATTTCTTCATGATTAATTTCCAGTAGTGAGAATTCAGTAGTGCTTTAAATAAATAAGCAATGTATTGTTCATTATAGAAATTTAGAAAACACAGTTAATCAAAGAGATTTTTTTAAAGTTACTCAGAATTTTATCATTACTCAGAAATAACCCTATTTGTGTTTTAGTATTGGATTTCTTGCCTTTTTCTGATCTACTTATATGTATTTTCTGTTGGAAGTGGAATATTCTATTTTGAAGCTTTTTATCTCCCCCAAATGAAACAGTATCATGTTCTTCTTTCCATGGCATTAAATAATTAAATTTTCTTTAGGGGTTTGTAAACTATGGCCTGATGACCATATGTGGCCCACTACTTGGTTTTATAAATAAAGTTTTATTGGAACAGAGACACATTCGTATTTCAGCAATTGTCTCTGGCTGCCTTCATGCTGTAGTAGTTGAGCAGTAGCAACAAAGACCGTATGGACCATAAAGTTTAAAATATTTACTATCTGGTCCTTCACAGAGGAGGTTTGCCAACCCCCTTTCCCTATCATGGAACTAACGCTATACGTGTTCTGTCACCAGTTCCTTCTGAGGGGCGTTCAGGCTGTTTCCTATGCATCAGTATCATACACGTCCCCTCTCTAACTGTCCATGTAGGTAGAAACTTATGTACATCAATGATGACATCTTAACATAAATTTCTGGAAGTGGTCTTACTAGGTCAAAAATTCCACCCATTTTCAAGACTTTTGGTTCGTATTTCCCATCTGACTCTCAAAAAGTTTATGCAACATACACACCTATTGACTGACTGTAAGTGAAGGACCATTTCCTTTCACCTTGGACTGCAGTGGGGATGCCCTAACAGCAATTATAATAAATATTGTGAGGTTGAGATGTCGTTACATTTGGTTGGCAGTTTTTCAAATTTCCAGAGAGGGTGAAGGTTTTTTTCCTGCGTGTCGGTCATTTGCATTTCTTTTTTGAGGAGGTGCTATGCATTTTGCTTTTCATTCCATTCATTCATACCCTCAAAGACAGAACAAGGAGGTGGAGCGGGTCCATGGCAACACTACAGGACACTATGGCAGAAGACCTGTAAGGGGGCGAATGTGAATGATACAAAGGTTCTCACTGAGTTTTGAGATCCTTGAGTCTGTAATTAGGATGAATTTCCTAAATCTAACTCTTAGACACAGCAATTGGAGTGATAAGAGGTCATTCTTGGGGTTCCTGCAGATTTTTAAAGTGTAAGGGAATGTGGGTTCTCAGGAAGGGGAGTTCTTAATTTGGTTCAGGCTTCTGGGGTGGGGAATGCTGTAAAGAAGAGACTGGTCTGTTAACCCAAGACCACGAATTGGTTGTCCTAAAGGGAATTGGTCTCCCCTGTTGAGATAAAACAACCTCCGTTCTCACGATGTCATCCATTCACGCAATTTACTGATACAGTTGACCCTTAGACAACACGGGGGTGGGATTAGGTTGCTGACTCCCCACCTAGTTAAAAATCTACGTATAACTTTTGGCTCCCCCAGAACTTAACTACTAATAGCCTACTACTGATTGACCAGAAGCCTTCCTGATCACATAAACGCTCACTTGACAAGTATCTTGTGTGTTACACGTATTATACACTGCGTTCTTACAATAAAGTAAGTGAGAGAAAAGAACGAGGTATTAAGAAAATCTCAGGGAAGAGAAAATACATGGTACTATTAAAAATCCACGTGTGAGTGCACCTGAACAGTTCAAACCTGCATTGTTCAAGGGTCAGGGATCTTCATCAAGGACTGCTGTGCACCAGGTGTTGGTCTAGGCTCTGAGAACACAGCTGCAGAGCAAACCGCCTACTCAACCTGGCCAAGACAAGACCTTGCCCTCTGCCTCGCCCTCTTCATTCTGAATCCTTCAAGCCATGGAGCGTGCGCCTTTCGTTATTCTCCTTAATTACTTCGTTCTTCCCTCTTCCTCATTCCTTCTCTTACTCTTCTCTTCTTCCCCTCCTCTCCCACCTCCTTCCCCCCATTTTTGTCTTCAAATTCCCTCCTTTTTAAGTATCCCTGAATGATATTGGCCATTTTATAAGCACACCCTTCATTGCCAGAGGGTGAACCTCTGGGTTTCCAAAGACAGGCAGGGGGAGATCTCTCAGCTCAACATCTCTAAGACTAGGGGAGGAGAGAAAGGGATATTCTGTCCCGAGTAACCATGTGCTGTGAAGAAAGCCATCTCCCCTTCCCACATTCCCATCTTCCTCAGTGTACGTGGGGACAACTGTGGCATGGATGTATTTTCAGGTCTGATGAGATAATTTGCAGGACATGGCTTGTTCTCCTTGGAGTAAAAGTGCTGATGGAAATTCTCCTAGTTGCTCAGAGATGCTCGTAACTTTGGGCATCGTAATGCTCATATAGCATCCCATCTGCCTGGTTCTTCGGCAAGAGCTGGGACAGGTCTGGGGTTTACCTTACTTGCAAGCTAATAAGTCAGCCCACCAGTTTGTGGATGCTGGCAAAAGACAAGAGACTCCAGGCTCAGACACAGAGGATGTTATTACGACATGAGTGTCACAGGCGTCCTGTTCGAGTCAGTTCCCCATGCCCGCCAAGTCCCATGAAGGTGACGTGGAATAGCCCGGGACACACTGCATGCCTGGGGGGGGGTCTGCAGCACACAAAGGAACCCAGAACCAAGGCCAACTCAAATCTTTCATAACGGACTGCAAGCTCGCCTGTACACAATTTGTCCCAAAGGAAGACATAGCATTTGTTAAGCCAGAAAGTAAGCAAGCCTGCTCCTTGCTCTGGAGAGAGATGTCATCTCTGTCTTCTAAGGCTGCTTGTTCTGCAAAGCATCCTCCAAGAGACAGTCTGGGACAAGGTTGTCTGTGTTGCCATGCACAAGACTCACGGAGAACGGGCTGCTACATCACCTCATGACCATCTTAGAGGTCCCAGCCCTCCCTCTTCTCAGAGTACCCCGTTTGGGTTTTACGGGTCACCCCTTACAGGTCACTGTCCTCCATGGGGAAGCGTTTCTGGGCACCTGGGCTCCACTTGCCCCTGTACTACTTTCCTAGGGTTGTGGAGACAGAGGACGACAAACTAGGTGGTTTAGAAGAACACAGGTCTATTGTCTCATGGTTCTGGGGACCAGAAGACCGAAACCCAGGTGCCAGCAGGGCTGTGTTCTCGCTGAAACCCACAGGGAAACCCTCCTTTTCTCTCCCCAGCTTCTGGTGTTTGCTGATCATCTTTGGGGTTCCTTGGCTTGTAGGTTTGTCACCCCCCTTTCTGCCTGAACCTTCACATGGTGTCTTGCCTGTGTCTCTTCAAACCATTCCCTTCTGGGCATGTCTGTTTTGGGTTCAAATCTCCCCTTTTTAAAGGACACAAGTGAGATGAGATTAGATGCACATGATTATTTGTTTTAACTCGACAGCCCCTGTAAAAATTCCATTTCCAAACAAGACGATATTCTGAGGTCCTGGGGGTCCACACTTCAACATACTGCAGGGTGGACAGGGGTGGGGGGACACGTTTTGGTCAGTAACGCCATCCCCTAACCCGGGACGGTCGCAACTGGGTCAGGGGTGGAGAGCCTGGGGCTGAGCCTCTGGAGGGTGTGTCCCCAGATAGATGACCTTTGCTCTAACTACCGCGACTTTCTTTGGGCCAGAACATTCTCTGCTTTGAGGGGAGGAGGGCCGAATAGCTCAATTTCAAGTTTTATCTTATTCAAATCCGCTGCTCTGCTTTCTGCTCTCTCCACGCCCCCTTGTCGGTTTCCAGACGCAGACGCGGTCGCGGCGCAGATCCTGTCCCTGCTGCCACTGCGTTTCTTCCCCATCATCGTCATTGGGATCATTGCCCTGATACTGGCGCTGGCCATCGGGCTGGGCAGTGAGTACAATTCATTATTCAGTGGGCTCTCAAATGCCTGTTCAGGTGTTTAAACTTTGATGAGCCCCCCATGGCTCACACCATCAGGACGCTGCCCCCCAGCCTTAATTACTGGAGACCAACGTCTCTGGGGCTTGCTGACTTGGAGTTTTCTTTGCCTGCATGAACATGGAGCCCGCCGGGGCCCGGGGGGTGGGGGAGGGCTGCTGGCCGTGCTTGGGGCTTTGTCACCGAGGAGCCTGCCCAGTTAGAAGTGTCGAGAGGTAGCTGATGAAATGCGATTCTGTGGGCCTGGAGGGGGTGCGGGGCCGGGAGGAGGAGACAAGGAGGCCATTCACGCTGGGCCAAGCCTACCTGCTATTTTAAAAAGAGGTTCATGTGACTTTCGAGAAAGTGAGTCCTTCGGGCGGCTCTGATACAGAACACTGTCTCCTCTTCTCTTTCAAATAACCAGCCCCCTGCTCAGCTGTGGGGTCCCCGGTCCCGTCTCTTCTCGCCCAGAGTTGGAGACGACAGGCGGTGGCCTGGGGGGCCAAGGCGTCCTCACTCAGAACCCTCTGCTCAGCTGGCTCAGCCAGTCAGCCCACAGCCATGCACTTTCTCTCTTGACCTTGAGCCCTAGACCTGGGGCTCGAGGCTACATACTGAGCCAAAGTGGGGTGTAGCAGCCCCACCCTCTGGGATTTGGGACAGAAACTGGGCTGAAGGAAAGTGGCTGCGATTTCAACGCAGGTTTCATTACTGATGGCCACGCTCTAGGCCACGGCGGCCTGGGGATGGAGGTTAGTGTTGTGCACTGAGGAAGCCAGCCCGTCCTTGACACCCTGGTCCTCCCCTCTCCTCAGTCCACTTCGACTGTTCTGGAAAGTACAGGTGTCGCTCGTCCTTTAAGTGCATTGACCTGACAGCTCGATGCGACGGGGTCTCCGACTGTAGAGACGGGGAGGACGAGTACCGGTGTGGTAAGGCCATGCTCCTCCTGTAGAAGGACACCCCAAACCTGACCTTACCCATCTGTGCAGTGAGATCCATGGGCCCAGATCCATGCCACGGTCAAGTCATGTCCTTAAGTGGGATCCCCCTGGCATTCGTCCTCAGGGGTGGCTGAGCTGGGAGCAAAGCGGGGGCTGTCCCTTGGGGCCAAAATTCGGTTGGGGAGAACACAGGGGCGGAAGGAAGAGAGCTCAGGGGGTCCAGGCCGTAGGAGCTGGCGTGGCCCTGCAGGGTGGGGGTGCAGCGGGGGAGGGTCAGGTCAGACTCAGCAGGGCGGGGACCTGAGCCAGCTGCAGAGAGACCTCTGCGCCCGTGGGCTCAGGCCCTGTGGGCGGCTCACGGACTCTTCCTCCCGTGCGCCGGGCAGTCCGCGTGAGCGGCCGGAACGCCGTGCTCCAGGTTTTCACAGCTGCTGCCTGGAGGACTGTGTGCTCTGACGACTGGAGAGGTCACCACGCTAACGTCGCCTGTGCCCAGCTGGGCTTTCCAAGGTAACTTCAAGGACATTTCCCGCGAATGGGTAAAGCATTTGATTGTGGTGACGATGGGGAGAGAGAGCCTCCTTTTAGGGGGCATTTATGGGGTGCCGCTGCCCGCCATCACAGTACATCCCCACGTCAACCTCAACATCATCCCTGATCCCCTGGTGCACACACCAGGCCCTTGCACGCTAGGTGGTCGGTCAAGGTCACGTGGGAAGGGACACGTTTGGGGGCGTCTCATGGTTGGAACAGGACCCCAGATCCCAGATGCACATAGGAAATATGGAACTTCTGAGCCAAAGACTAAGCCCCCAGCGGCTCGGGCTGCAGCCACAGGGTACCTACAGGGCCCCCACGCGCCGGGTGATGGCGGCCCCCCAGGCGGGCACGCACACTTCTAAGGAGCCCCAAAGAACCAAGTTGGAAACGCCCGCCACATAGTGAAAGCACAGTCCCTTCCCACAGTTATTTGGAAAGATGTCGAAGGTACAGCCCTGGCAGCGGGGTCTTCACTTCTCAGTGTTTGGTTTTGTCCCGGGACGTTGTGTGCTGAGGCGACACATGTCTCTCCTCTCTCCTGGCCCCTCCTCTGACCCCTGACCACGCTGTCCTCCGTGGCCTCCCACCACGGCACCCCAGCCCCTTTCGCTCTTGGCCCCAGATTCAAAGTGGGCTCTCTGTGTTCCCACGCTCCTGGGCGTTTGCGCCTGAGTCCCCGTGTCCTTTGCCCAGTCCTCCGACCCTGGCATCAAAGCCGGAAACCACTTGAAGTCCAGGGAGTCTCGGTTTCCAGGTCTGGGGCATGTTCGTCTCCGCTCCTTCCTCCGGTGCCCGATGCACCCCAGCGTCCCCCAGCCTGTGTCCCTAGACCACATCCCTCTCACCTCGTGACAGCCTGCATTCAGGAATCAGCTCGGTCCAGCTGGGGACAGCAGCTGAGCCACACACACGGGGCTGTGGATCACACCCCCCACAGACAGGGAAGAGGGGGTTCGCAGCCCACGTGCAGGCACACATGCACGCGCACGTACCACACGCATGCACAGCTACATTACTCGTATGGACGCATACACAATACCCACATTGCACAAACACTAAGTCACGCACCTGTGCACACTCACACGCCTCACGAACACACCTGTGCACACTCACGTGCCTCACGCACACACCTGTGCACACACGTACACACACCACCACCTCTGTGAACCAAGGAAAGCTTCCCCAGGCATCTTTGTTCCCTCCGGAGGCCCTTTCTTCGACTTTGGGGGGCATCCCTACCGCTCCCCAGCTCTCCTCCCTCTCCCTCCTGGAATGCTCCCCCTTCCCCTGAACCCCCAGGCCCCCTCTCCCATGCAGTAGGGCCCAGAGACTCCTCTCCCTCAGATTCCCATCCGCCCACCCAGAGACGGTCCCTCCTGCCCTCCGCGTGCCCCCTCGGGGGGGAATCTAGCCAACGCCGTTTCCCCAGGCGGCCCATCAGCACGGCCTGCTTCCCTCCCCGTGAACCCGCTCTGCCCTCCACATCGATGCTCCCATTCCGAGATTGACTTCCGTAGCCTTCTCCTTCCTACTCCTCTCCCGAAAGCCCTTCTTTGATCTCTGCGGGCAGAATCCCATGTCAGCTGTCTGTGATGGCAGCCAAAGGGGAGACTGTCAAGTAGGATGGCCTGGGTTCGAATCCTCAGTCCTCAGCCCAGTCCCCTGACTCGGCCTCGGAAACAGGGACAACAGTAGGACCTGCTCTGAAGGGTGGGGTGTGGTTCGCGTCAGATCGAGCCGGGCACACAGGAACGTCCTGGGAGAGCTGGCCGCTGTGATGGTCACGACCCCCTGGAGACTGGGCCGTTTTCTGGGGATCCCAGGGTGGCCCTCGGGGCCCCTGTGTGTCCCACAGCTCTCTGTCTCGTCTCGGGAGCTCATCCTCGGGCGCCTGCCCTATCGGTGGCAGAACCGTCCCCACCAGGGCTGGGAGGCCCTTGTCCCCCAGACTCAAACTCGACGGAACCTCGTCTGCATCTACTCCCTCGCGCATGGCATCTCCGTAACGGGATGCGACCCTGTTTGATAAACCGTGTGTTCGTGAGCAAGACCACCAGCTGCTTCATGTTTCGTTCGTCCCGTGAGAAAAGGGGCGGATGCTTGTCACCCATCTCGTAACTCTTCCAACACCTGATTTTTTTTTTTTTTTTTTTTTTTTTAAAGATCATGGCTTCTTTACCCTCGTTCTCCAGACCTGTCTCTGGACACTTTCATCATTTGCTGGGGCGCCCTGAGCCTTTTCCTTCTGTGCTCATCTCTCTCTAGTGGGAACCCCCCCAGCTCTGGCTTTCGTTGTCCCCAACCTATGGCCCTTGGGTGCTCGGCACCCCCACTCTGATCCCGCCCGAAAATTCTCCGCCAAGTTCTGTGTTCTGCTCTGTCTGGGGCTCGTGTCAGGCCAAGCAAGGGTCAGCTCAGCTGGATGTATCGAGGTGGGGCTTGGCTACATCAGGGAGTGGTCTCCCTGGCGCATGTCAGGAGCCTGCGGCGGGTGGAGGGGCCACGGGGGCCCACGAGGACCCAAGAGACTTGCGAGTGGGGTGGGGACCCGGTGGTCTGTGGGCCCAGACAGTACAAGGTCTGCAGTGGCTCCTAAGCCAGCAGAGGAGCTGCTGATGGATGGAGGGGTGGGACTGACATCGCCCGGCGGGACCCGGGTAGCCCTGGGACTGAGCGCTGGACGGTTGGAGCCCGGAGTGCATCCCGCGTCGGGGCCGCGTTTCCGATGTGCTTGCAGCTACGTGAGTTCGGACACCCTCAGCGTGGGCTTGCTTGAGGAGCGGCTCCGGGAGGACTTTGCGTCCGTCAATCATCTCCTGCCCGACGACGAGGTGACAGCTCTGCACCATTCCGTGTACGCGAGGTGAGCGGCCGGTAAGGGCGGTCGTCTGCACAGTCCCCGCTGGCTTTGCTGAGCCGTGCACAGCTCCGCGAGGACCCAAGGGACGTGAGAGTGTCTTTCTCCAAATGCGAGGCGGGGGCTTGGCTGCCTCGCTTAGACTGGAGGGAGGGAGCTCCACGCGGGATGCGGGAACCCAGCCCGGAACGGCAGATAGGGCCCGACAGAGAGAGGGAGGAAGGGGCACCGTGTGCGTCCTGCTGTTCTCATCGTGGGCAGCAGGGGTGTGTGCGGACAGGGGTGGAGGGGCAAGGAAACTAGAAAGTATTACAAGGTACGGTAACATTTACCGTTCGTGTTCCGTGTTTCCCCCGAGGACTCACGAGAAGGGTGAAATGAAGCGCCCGTAAGTGACGGAGCCCTCAGCCTAGCGTGTCCCCTGCCTCTAGTTAGGCGTCCCCGTAGGCTCTTCCTGACACTTGGGACCAAATCCCAGGAGCGTGTCCTCCACTCTGGGAAAAAACAGCTTCTCAGCCTGTCCATTGTGTAATTGATTGTCACTTGGGGACCCACATGCAATTTGTGGGGACAGCTCATTGCTTAGGTCCTAAAACCTCGGTCTGGTGACGCCCCCATTTTCTTGCATGATTTCACGAGTAGACTGGGGCTCTAAATGCAGGATGAGTCACAAAGGGACACAGTGGGTTAAAGCAAAGCACATTCCCTGCTCCCCTCCCCCCATGCAAGGGCGAGCATGTGTCATTTCGCAGGGGGAGGGGACAGCAGTGTGATCCAGGCTGCAAGGACTTGGTGCCAGGAGAGGCTGCCACGCTGTCCCAAGGGCACTCTGTGTCCTCCAGGGGCCAGCGAAGAAGCCTGGGGTGAAGCCGGCCTGTAGACGACGGCAGTGACGTTTCTGTCGTAGAGCCCCTCCCATGCGTCCTGTCCTCAGCTGCGCAGAGCTCAGAAGCAGTCACCTGTCACACAGCACTGCACTGTGGCCAAAAGTTTTGGGATGAATGTGTGACCTCACTCGCGTGCGTTTTTAAAAAAATAGACTAAAATTGCCATCTGTATTCAAGAGCGGGGAATAGAGTCCGGTTTTCTTTTACCCTAAGACTAAGTTTAGAAAAGTGCTCGCCCGTGGGCACTTACCGCAAGCCCCCTCTTTTGTTCCTCAGGGAGGGCTGCGCCTCGGGCCGTGCGGTCACCTTGCAGTGCACGGGTGAGCCATCTCGCAGGGCAGAGGAGCCGAAGCCCGCACTCGCTCACGCACTCCGTCTCCCCCGCCTGCTCGGTCTGCTCGGGTCCCTCATCCTGGGTGCCAGCGGGGAGCCCTTCGGACCCCACCTGATGGAGGAGGAGAGTGTGCCTCCAATGGGCAGGGGGGAGGCAGCCCAGAGCCGCTCCTCAGCGGCAGACAGGACCGTGGTCCGTGATGCCCTGTCACCGCGGTGGCTCCAGCAGCCTGACTCGCTGTCACTTTCTCCCCCTGCCCACCTCAAGGAGGAGCGGGCCCAGGCTGCTCAGTGCCCCGGGCTCCCTGCCTGGTGTCCACACTGCAGGGGTGAGGTCTGGAGTCAGGCAGGTGCCCAATAGCCCTGCATTACTGAGGAGAGGGCTGCGCAAGATTCCCACACACCTGGCGAGTTGTGGTCCTACTGGGGTCACGGGCGTAATGGTGAAGGGCGCGGCCAGCACCGGCTCTTCCCCCCGCACCTCCACCTCTGCTCCTACCCTCTCCCCTCCCAGCTCTTGTCCTGGGCTGTGAGCTCTGCGAGGACAGTAGGCCGACGGGGGTGGGGGGAGTCTGTGGCGGTGACAGCAGGTTCCCTAGAAAGGTCTGTGGGATCGACCCCAGCCCTCGTTCTCCCTCTGCAGTCTGTGGTCTGAGAATGGGCTACAGCTCACGCATTGTGGGCGGAAACGTGTCCTCGCTCATGCAGTGGCCGTGGCAGGCCAGCCTTCAGTTCCAGGGCTATCACCTGTGCGGGGGCTCCGTCATCACCCCCGTGTGGATTGTCACCGCCGCGCACTGCGTCTATGAGTGAGTACTCGTTGCCCGCGCACCCTGGCCTGCACTGGGGGGCGCTAGGCTGGGGTCGGTTCCAGCGGTCAGCAGCAGCTCCAGAGAGCAGGAAGCCAGCCAGATTGTCCCAAAGTAAAGTCCCGCGGAGGGGATGCATCCCTGTCGCTGCTGGCTGTGACCGGTGACCCTGAGCTCATTCTAAGGATGTCAGACCTGCCGCTCCTACAGAAAAGGTAGAAAGCTCTGGGATGAATCTTTTGTCCAGGAGGGAAACCGCCAGCCTCCCTCTTGCTACTTAACGGGGAGCTTGCTGTGGCCAAGAGAGTGAAAGGGGCCTCTGGCCGCATGGGCACCAGGGTCCCAGGCTGTGTCTCGGGGGACCTGAGCACAGGGAAAAAACCACAGGAAGATTCCCAAGCACAGAGGAGAATTCTCCGTTTTTGTTTCTGTTTTGGCTGCTGTCTGACGGAGAACGGGTTCTGACGGACCCCTCAGACGCTGAGAAGTCCGGAGACGCAGGCACCGAGGCTTGCCTGGGCGCTGTTTGGGCGGGTCTCTGCTCCTGCAGGGCGCGGGACCCTCGGTCGGGGCGAGCATCCACAAGCAGGGAGCGCGGCCGTCTCGGCCACCGCCTGGCCCTGCGTCTCCAGACCTTCGCAGTCCACGGGTTAACATTCTGGGGGAGCCGCTGCTTCACTCCCCGCCTTCTCATTTCAGCCTGTATCTCCCCAAGTCCTGGACGATCCAGGTGGGGCTGGTGTCCCTGCTGGACAGTCCCGCGCCTTCCCATCTGGTGGAGAAAATCATCTACCACAGCAAGTACAAACCCAAGAGGCTGGGAAACGACATCGCGCTCATGAAGCTGGCCGGGCCGCTCACCTTCAGCGGTACGTCCGGGGTCCCTCCCGCTCTGTTGCTTTCCGTTCCTTCAGGAGAGGTTGTAGTCACCCCCGAAGCCTTTTTCTGAAGCCGCTTTGCTGTCCTCGCGGGCAGTTCCAGGAGCTCACCCGCTTCCCCACCGGCCATGGGGGTCACCTTTCCTCACTGAAGTTGTGATTTTCCTGGTTCTTGGAAATTTCTGACAGCATTCTGGACATCGGGCTACTGCAGCAGGAGACGTGGGGTCCATTTACCTCCTCAGCTTCCGCAGGAGGTCCCCGTTGCGGTTCCCACGTGTGACTTGCCTATGTTGTGGGTGGTGCTTCTGTGGACATTTGATTTTAGAGACCTGTGGTCCGAATTTGGTCAGCTCGGTTCGTGCTGGGACCACGTTCTTCCTGCTGGTGCCAGCTGGAGATGAGAGGGACTTCCCCAGGCCAGGTCACGGGTGCCTCTAGGTGGTAGAAGGGGGGTCGGTGGCCCCGTGGGCTCAGAGTTCCTACCTGCCCAGGAACTTATTCTATACCAGAGCACATGGGATAGAACTTCCAAACGTTTTGCAGAGACAAAGGATTAGGAACCTACTCTTAAGCACACCCAAGCCCCTTCGCCTTGCCCAGCGCACGGCCACGTGGAGTGTTGGCACAGGCATATTGAATGGGCCCTGATGCTGCGGAATCCTGGCCCAGGGTCCGCATGTTCACCACGCCACGCACTGAATGTTCTCTTGTAATGCTCTGGAATGCGTGTTTCTGGAGAAGCAAAGAGAAATTGTAACGGTGACGTTTGTTTATTATTATTAGTGGTTCTTGGTTATAAAAATGAGGGGCCGACGTTTGCACTTTGATAAAAGTAGGTGAGTGCTGACGACTTCTCTGTCTTTCCATTACCGTCCTGTGAGGAAATACTTAGCGCATCGCCTAGCGTGTTCCTGAGACAGCCTCGCGGCAGCCGTGACACTGTCTCTGCTGGAGGGTGTATGTGACACAGCCCGTGGGGACAGGCCAGCTTCTTGCCTCCAGGTGGGCCAGGCAGGACCACAGCAGGCACGAGGGGCTGTTTCATAAGGCAATGCGGCCGTGGTCCAGACCAGCAGTGGGCAGGTTAGGGCCCTCGGTCCCAATCTGACTCTGCCTGGTAGCTTTCAGACCAGTAAAGGGCTTGACTTTTCTTTAGGAGGTTGTTTGAGCTTTTCAGAGAGGTAGACTTTGGGGACATTGACTGTTCTCTTGGACGAGTGCTTCAGCTGAGTTCAAGGCTGCTGTCTCCCCCGCAACAGACATGATCCAGCCGGTCTGCCTGCCCAACTCCGAAGAAAACTTTCCTGATGGAAAAATGTGCTGGACGTCAGGATGGGGGGCCACAGAGGATGGAGGTCAGTCACCCGAAATCAAGATTCCAAGTCCAGGGAGCCCAGAGGCATGAGGCCCGGGGTGGACGCCCACCATGACATTCTGCCCTTCGTGTCCCTGTGTGGTGTCCCCATGGGAGGCCCACACGTCCCAGGCAGGGGGTATGCGTCTGCTGCTGGACACACGCTCTCAGCAGAGTGGTTGTGGGTCAGAGTCATGGTTCTATTTGTCTTGGGGCATGAAATTGCAGACTTTGCCTGGAGAGAAATAAATGGAAAAGGAGGACTGGGGACACTCCGTGTTGGGTAGACATTCACTAAATCATTGGACGGCTCTCCCTCCTCCTCCCCACTGTGCTAGCAAAGCACATAAGGAGCCCACAGAGAACCCCTCCCAAGGTTTATTCAGAAAGCCAATGTCTGTAACCGGTGAGGGATTTTCCTCTTGTGGGAGGTTGGAAGACGTCTTATTTCATTAGCGGAAGCAGACGTACGGAAACTTAGTCTATAATGTAATGGAAGTAGTCACCCTAATGAGAAGAGGGCATGCCACTGGAACGCAGCCCATCCTGTTGGGGTGGGGCACCCCTGTGCTCATCACTCAGAGGTTTCCCATCAATTCCTTTCCTTCTGGTAGGAAAGGTAGGAGTTCCTTGAAGCGGGGGGTGATGGTGGGGAGGGTGGGTTGGCTATCATAGCAAAGCTCCACGAACAGAGGGGCTTAGCCAGCAGGACTCATTCCCTCTGGAGCCCAGAAGTCTGAGATCAAGGTGTCTCAGGGCTGGTTCCTTCCCGGGACTCCGAGGGTGAAGAAGCAGCCCCTGGCTTCTCCTGCAGCTGCCAATGGCTCCAGCCGTCCTTGGCGTAGACACAACCCTACAGTCTCTGCCTTATCTTCCTGTGCCCCCACCCCAGTCCTGTGTGTCAAGTCTCTCTCCCCTTTCTCTTAGAAGGAAACCCGTCTTTGGACTTAAAGCCCACCCTAAATCTGGGACGACCTCATCTTGAGGTTCTTACCTTGGTTACACCTGCGAAGACCCTACTCCAAATAAGGCACTTGCTAAGTTTGCAGGTGAACATGGTTTGGGGGGGGGGGTCCCACTCACCCCAGTACAGCAAGTTCAGTATTTTCCTTCTAAGGCTTATTAGTGGGGTCTGCCCCTCCCTGAATGTCCGCGGTGCACGGCGCTTCCCCAGATCTGCCGCGTCGGTCTTCTTCCCCAGGGCAGGGTCTCATCCCCCTGTCCAGCCGTGTCCTCTTGTCCGTATTGGAGGCTTCCTCCACGGACCGGTCGAGCTCCGCTCCGCCATGTACCGGTGCTGAGCTGGGCGTCTCCATGCGACGCTGCCGGCTCCTCGCAGCAGCCCCTCGGCAGGAAGTCGTCTTCGTGGCCGTCGTGAGGGCGAGGAGCCTGGGGCAAGGGGAGCTGAGCCCCTGCCTGGGCTCCCATGACCAGGTGGAGGGACGTCTGGGCTTCCACGTCCATGCTCCCCCCACGGCCCTCTCCACCTTGTTTCTTAGGACTTGCGGCATCAGAAGATTAGTTTTTCACTTCGCTCGATCCTGTGGGGCTAGTAGGGACAGGCGGCACTCTCAGCTGAGCTCTGGACAGTGGTCCCGGGCACACGGGGTGTGGGTGGAGTGGAGAAGCCCACGCAGAAGATGGGGTGCGGCTCGCACTCAGAGAACTCTTCGAGTGTGGGTCTGAGGCGCGCCAACCCGCACCCCACCTGCGGACGCACGCTAGACGCGAGCCACACGCGAGCCACACGTGAGCCACACGCGAGCCACACGCGAGCCACACGCGAGCCACATGCGAGCGCTGCTTTCAGCCTGTAGAGCGTAAAGATACCCGGTTGCAAACAGATCCGGTTAGAGGTGCGGGTCCCTTCGGGTCTATGGCGGGGCTGACCTGACAGTGGACGCGTCGTTTCCTGTTGCTGTGGCAGCAAGACCAGACTCACTGGTTTCGACCCCAGGAACATGGTGGCTACGGTTCCGGAAGCCAGGCCTCCTCGTCCCTCTCCCCAGGCTGTCAGAAGGGCTGGTCCCTCCTGGAGGCTCTGAAGGAGGGTCCGCTTCCTGGCCTTTTCTAGGGTCAGGGGCTGCATGCTGGTCCTGCCTCCATCCTCACAGTGGGCCAGGCAGTGTCCCCCGTGCCCCCCCCACCGTCTGACCTCTGCCCCACTCTCACGTCTCCTCTGATGCTTGTGGTCCCATTAAGAACCCACCAGACAGCCCAGGATCGTGTCCCCATCTCAGGGCCCTTCTGCCGTGGAAGGTGACCCAGACGCCTTTGGGAGGACACTTCTCTGCTGACCACACGGAGGTTCTGCAGGCCCCTGCGCCCGTGTCCTTCACAGGCCTCTGTTTCCCTTCTGTAACCTGGGTTGTTCTAAGGACCGAACAGGCTGGTGTGGGTTGAGAGCTTGGCCCAGGGCGGATCCCGGGCGGTCCCTGATGGCTTCTGCTGTCCCACCTTCTCCTGCATTGACCACTTTAGGGGAGTGCGTGGTCCAGACATGAAGCAGCAGGGCTTCCCGGCCCGCTCATCGGGGAGCTTGCCGCGGACCACGTACTGGCCACCTCCAGGAGCGGCCTCCTCTGCCACCAGAGTGTGGTGGCGTGGCCCCGCCCCGGGGGTGCCCTGAATTCCCAGCAGGGCCCCTCCTGCAGGTACTGCCCTCTCTCTGACACAGGGGATGGCTCCCCCGTCCTCAACCACGCAGCCGTGCCTTTGCTCTCCAATAAGATCTGCAACCACAGAGACGTGTATGGTGGCATCATCTCGCCCTTCATGCTCTGTGCCGGCTACCTGAAGGGTGGCGTGGACAGCTGTCAGGTAGGGGCCCCTGGGGACCTCCAGGTGCCCCAGCAGCAGGGGGGGCTCTGGACGGTGACCCAGCCCGTGGGATGGGCCACGGCCAGCATTTCCGTGACTGGCTGAAAAGCAAATTTACAGGGTGTGGGGAAGACGTTTGCTCGAGATAGCACTCCCTTTCCTGGCCAGCGGCCCAGTTTACCCGGCGCTCCCGTTCTGCCTGTGTGCTGGCGGCAGGAGCAGTCTCAGTGTACTTCCCGCTCCCAGCCCTGGTTCTCAGAGTTTGCAGGAGGAACAGGGGGGCTGTAGGCGGGTGGGAACTGGCCAGTCTGGCCTCCAGAGCCTCAGTGAGCGAGACTCCAGCACTGCGGGGGTCCAGCCCGGCCAGGCAGACCCTCCCTCTAGTTTGCTTCCGAGGCTGTGTCCATCTGCCTCGACCTTCACGGGGTCAGCGCCTCTAGAATCTGGCAGGGACACAGCTTGGGGAGACGATCCCTGGGGGGCCAAGGACTCCTCTGTTCGGGGTTTCCAGCATGAGTCCTCGGAGACAGGGGTGTGAGCACGGAGCCGAGTTCGTGATAGGAAGGGGGGGATCCTGGTGTGGAGACAAGGGACACCCCCACAGTGTGTCTTTCCTCACCATGCAGGGCGACAGCGGGGGGCCGCTGGTGTGTCAGGAGCGGAGGGTGTGGAAGCTGGTGGGAGTGACGAGCTTCGGCATCGGCTGTGCCGACGTGAACAAGCCCGGGGTCTACACGCGCATCACCTCCTTCCTGGACTGGATTCACGAGCAGATGGAGGTGGGTGCCACTCACGCTGGTCCCCGTCGTTTGCCTCCAGCGTCCTTTTCTGTGGCCCCAGGACTGCCTGGGTTGGTCCAGCGATAGGTGCCCTGTGACCTCTGGGTGTCGGATGTGAGCATGGCCAGTCCCACAGGCAAGGCTCTGTGCGGGATGGATGGGCCTGGGGGATGGGTGCACGTCGGGCGGCCACGGCAGGGACACGAAGGATGAACTTCCTCCACCAGGTGGGGAGAAGAGGAGGGGTGACGGAGAAGGAGACCCTGGGGAGGGGGGTGAGTCCAGTGGGCCTGCGTGCATAGAGTTGAGGGTGGACAAGGTGCAGACAGTGGGTGAGGGTCTGAGCTGCAGGCCCCCAGCACCCTCTGAAGAATCTGGACCTGGCTAAGAGCCAGGGATGGGCTGGACAGTCTCTGATCTTGGGGGTGCCTGGGGAGCTCTGGGCTTTGGGGGGGAGCTTCCCTGAAGGGAGGCGCTGCAGGAGGGAGACAGGTCAGGGAGGCCGGCTTCCAGGACCAGGGCAGGCAGGAGAAGAGAGTGGCCCAGGCAGACGGGGTGGGAGGGGGATGGCCTCCCCTGGGGGAGCAGGCCAGAGCGGCGGGGGGGCCGGCCACGCAGGAAGCCCCAGCAGCGCGGCCTTCTACCTTGCGGACCCCCAGCACATATTTGCAGACTTGCCCTCCAACGCTGAGCCCACATCATGCCTTGGACTTGTTTCAAAGAACATGGGATTTGCATTTTGTTTTCGAAATTATGGCCAAATATACGTGACATAAAGTTAACCATTTTCAAGTGGACAATCTGGGGGCCTAGCATCCTCGGGGAGCTGTGTAGCCCACACCTCAAGGCTCTGATATTCCAGGACCCGTTTCACAACGTCATCAAGCCGTCCCTCCCCCGCCCCCGCTCCACCCCCCTCCCCGCAGCCCCCAGCGGGTCTCCAGCAGCCATCATCTGCTCCTTTCCCTCCATCAGAGACCTTGTAGAACGCTCCTTTCAACCGGAAACAACAGGCTAGGGAAGGCATGAAGCCGCTCCCGGGCCCTGGACGTCATGTTCTGCTTCCGCTGGGAATTTTTGCTTTTGAAGGAAAAGGTGCGTCAGGGCTGCCCCGTCCCTGCTGAGGCCTGTTTTGACTCCTGGCCCCACCGCGCCACCGCACTGTCCATCCTCTGTAGGCTCGGATGGTTCCTACCCCGGGGCTGGCTCCTGGCAAAGCAGTACTAGAAGACAGGCCTTTTCCAGAAACGCGTGCTGGCTCTCATTTTGTGAGCCCGGGAGCACCACTGAGGGACACGAAACACCGTTAAGCACAAAATTCAGCCCACACCCATCAACCTCTTTGGAAGCAAGAGAACAGACGTTTGCAAGAGCAGCGCCCCCCCCAGCCCCGCCCCCTCTCAGGCGGAACCCCTGGGGTACAGATGGCCGTGGGAGCGGGGGATGAAGGGTGGGAAAGGGGGGTCACCCACAGAGGCTGCGGAAGTGCTCCCTCCACGCAGCCCTGCTCTGGGACAGATGGTCCTCGCGCCCAGGCTAGTTGTCATGAAAGTCAAGCTGGAAACACGTGTGCGCTGAGGATCCCCAGGAGCCCCGTGTGGTTGGGGATGTGCGGTGAGGGCCCTGGCGATTCTGATGCATGGGGCCTTCAAGGGAAGACTCTGGGGAAACACCGGTGGGGACCCCGTGTCTACTTGGGAGGGCTTAAAAAGAGCTTCCATCCCCTCCCTGCACCTGGATCCGTGCTCCCCCTGCCCCGATGAGCATGTCCACAAGTGATGGACAGATGGTGGCTGGGGGCCTCCTGGAGGCCTGAGACACCACCACCGGCTGCCTCGGGTCCCCTGGGGGCCAGTGTGAGAGTCGCCCTTTAACAAGTCTCTTCAGATGTCCGGGCAGAGGGGAAGACCCAGAAGAGGCTTCCCTTCCCACAGGAGCTTTTCCAGAGGTCTGCATTTCTGGTTATTTCTTTTGACTATTCCCACGGGCCTTGCAAGGGCCCACGGGGTCGAGGGACATTGGGCCGGTCACCCGCTGGCGCAGGACTGCCCACTTTCATCCACTGTGCTCTGCTCAGGGGCCATAAAACAAACCTGCTTTGATCCAAACCGGGACTTAGGACCTCAGTGTGAGGGTTGGAAAGGCCACGTGGTGGCTAAGAAAAGCACCCCCGGTCAGGCATCCTCTAGCAGAGGCCAGCTGTGTCCCCCATGCAGGGTGGGGACCTGTCCACGCTCACTCAGGGCCAAATGTGGGTGCCTGCTCTGTCTCAGGGTGAGGGGTCGGCCTCAAGTGTGACAGAAGGTGACGGCTGTGTTTTCATTTCCAGAGAGACCTGAAAACCTGAACAGGAGGGGACAGGATGCCACCTTGACTTCCTGCCTGATGGAGACGCCCCGCCCTTCCATGGGTCCCTGGGTGGAAACTCCCAACGGGAGGAGGGAGCCTTCGGTGCTCTTCTTTCTGGCAGCACCCGCAGAGCCAAAAGAAGGAGCACCTTTCTGTCCCTCCACGTCTGGAACCACCTGCTTCCAGCTCCTCCACAAGCTGCCAGGGGCCTCGGCTAACGTGACCTTTGTGCTCTGTGACCTTCGCTGAGAACAGAAGTGGGAACGCCTCCGTGGTGTGACCTTGTCCCCCTCGTCCATTCAGTTTTCTCAGTCCCCGGGCACAGGCGAATCCCACAGAAAACAACACGGGAACTCAGTAAGGACACGCGCCCAGAGCCGCGGGGTGCGACATCGCTGTCTGCATGTCTTTATCCCTAGGCGCTGGAGCAACCCAGGACTTCCTACTTCCAAGGTCCCGGTCTGCATGTGGGACCTTCATCTGCGAGGGATTAGTGGCAAGGTTTAGCTCTATTCTTTCTTCCTCGCTGTTGGTGCATTATTTGTCTCTTGTTTCCAAAGGATGCGTGTTCCCACAACGCACCCATCAGTCTGAGCTTGTGGGATGGATCCTGACCGCTCACGTGCTGGGCTCCCAAGCCTGACTGGAGAGTCAGTACTCTGATCTCCTCCATACACGATGTTGGTTTTGCATTTCCCTGTTTAAACAGGTTTCTTTC